ACACTGACTTTCTCACACATCATACACTGACTCACTCACACCATGCACTGACTCACTCACACATCATACACTGACTCACTCGCACATCATACACTGACTTTCTCACACATCATACACTGACTCACTCACACCATGCACTGACTCACTCACACATCATACACTGACTCACTCACACATCATACACTGACTCACTCACACATCATACACTGACTCACTCACACATCATACACTGACTCACTCACACCATGCACTGACTCACTCACACATCATACACTGACTCACTCGCACATCATACACTGACTTTCTCATACATCATACACTGACTCACTCACACCATGCACTGACTCACTCACACATCATACACTGACTCACTCACATCATACACTGACTCACTCACACATCATACACTGACTCACTCACACATCATACACTGACTCACTCACACATCATACACTGACTCACTCACATCATACACTGACTCACTCACACCATGCACTGACTCACTCACACATCATACACTGACTCACTCGCACATCATACACTGACTTTCTCATACATCATACACTGACTCACTCACACCATGCACTGACTCACTCACACATCATACACTGACTCACTCACATCATACACTGACTCACTCACACATCATACACTGACTCACTCACACATCATACACTGACTCACTCGCACATCATACACTGACTTTCTCACACATCATACACTGACTCACTCACACCATGCACTGACTCACTCACACATCATACACTGACTCACTCACATCATACACTGACTCACTCACACATCATACACTGACTCACTCACACATCATACACTGACTCACTCGCACCATGCACTGACTCACTCACACATCATACACTGACTCACTCACACATCATACACTGACTCACTCACACCATGCACTGACTCACTCACACATCATGCACTGACTCACTCACATCATACACTGACTCACTCACACATCATACACTGACTCACTCACACATCATACACTGACTCACTCACACATCATACACTGACTCACTCACACATCATACACTGACTCACTCACACATCATACACTGACTTTCTCACACATCATACACTGACTCACTCGCACCATGCACTGACTCACTCACACATCATACACTGACTCACTCACACATCATACACTGACTTTCTCACACATCATACACTGACTCACTCACACATCATACACTGACTCACTCACACATCATACACTGACTTTCTCACACATCATACACTGACTCACTCGCACCATGCACTGACTCACTCACACATCATACACTGACTCACTCACACATCATACACTGACTTTCTCACACATCATACACTGACTCACTCATACCATGCACTGACTCACTCCAACATCATGCACTGACTCGCTCATCATGCGCTTACTCACTCACACATCATACACTCGCACAACCACTGACCCATTCACTCATCATACACAGGTTCACTCATCGTGTGCTGGCTCACTCGCACATCATACACTGACTCACTCATCATGCGCTGACTAACACATCGTGCGCTGACTCACACATCATACACTCGCTCACACTGCCCCTGACTCGCTCAGACATCATACACCGACTCACTCATCATGCGCTGACTAACACATCATGCGCTGACTCACACATCATATACTCACTCACGCTGCTGCTGACTCACTCACACACTGAGAGTGTCGTGCTGCCAGCTATGGCTGCATGTTTTGTCGTACGTGTTATGTATATCGTTTATTGTTAAATTTAAAATCACAGTTCCTATGATTACTGTTGTTACATTGTTTTTATAGCTTTATTTTGGTGATTCGAAAACATATGGTTAATATAAATTGTCTTATGGTTGTTGTTGTTGGCTTGTACCACATTGTGATTTTTGCACACAGCGTTTTAATACGTTTTTTTGTGTGGAATATTTGCTGGTTTATTCCAGAATGTTTCTGTTGCACGTCGTCGCTTTGGGATGTTCTGTGTTCAAATTTTGTTTGTTGCGATTGCACCCGACTTAAGAGCCGCATGGCTCACAGGGCTACACCTAATAAATGAAACTTGAAAACTTGAAACCAATATGTGTGAATAAGCAGGCTGAGAATCACATTGAGAAAAAGGAGAACACGTGGATCAGTGAGCTCGTTTTGCAGCGCCAGACGACTGCCGCTTCATCAGCAGCATGGAAGGAGGGCCATGCCACCACTGCCTACTCGTCAGGGTAGCGATCGTTCACAGTGTGCGACATCATCGCAAACCATATCCCCAGAAAAAATATACAGAACTGCAATTAATACTGACTTTTAAGAAAAGTAAGTGGACTTGGGCAGGTTACATCGCTGGAATGAAATGATAATCAATGGATGAGACTGACGGAATGGAAACCAACAGTATCACCGCTGCGGAGATAGAGTGATAACATTAGATGATGCTGGAACAAGATTGATTATGGCTTTGCAAGTTGAATTGTTTAAAAAGCATATTATCTTATTAAAGCAACTCAACTTAATCGCTACATACAAACATATCTTCTTTCTGAAACACGAGACATCAATGTATTCTACTGCACACAACTCAATTTCATCAAAACCATGAGACAGGACATTGTAACCAATTACATGCATTGCTTGGTCATGCAAAATCAATTAACTGACCGGATGGTACTGGTTGTCAAAGTCCAGGCAGCCGCACAGCTCTACGGGGACACACTTGTCCCCAGATAGAACGAAGCCGTCGTCGCAGACACAGCCCTCTGCACATTGCTGGTTGCAGCCACCCGGGAGACTTGCGTTGCTGCAGGTGGCCGGGCACGGTGGGGCACAGCTCTCATAGTGGCTGCCCGGTTCACAAGGGAATGCTGTGGGTGTCACACGCAATTGAAATGTCATTAAAGTGCCTCAGCACCATTCTGGATGTTGACAACTATTTAATTATTTTAGGCACTCAAGTATTAAACTTTGTTTTGGGGTTTTCCGTTTCTGCTGAACCCAGCATGAATGGCCGAAAAAATGGGGGCCGGGGAAAGGGGATGGACTCTTGACACTGAACCATTATTACAAACACACATGACGGCCGTTGTTCCAAGGGGAAAACAAGAATGATAAACTCGGGCATCGCACTTATGTTATTTTATTTGCGGGTTTGTGTGGTTATATTATCCCCCCTCCCCCTCTATCCCCCCTCCCCCTATATTCCTACTTATTCCACTCCCCCGCAAATATGCTACTCCCCATCGTTGCCCCTACTGTGGACGGGCAGTGATCTCAAGTTCCTCCAATCGGTCCCCCATTTCAGGGTACATCACTCCGGGTTTGTTACGCGCTTGTGACGTGTGTTTCCCTCTTTGATGTCTGTGTTTTGGTTGAGATGTTAAAACACCAAACTAAAACCTTTTACAAGGAATCATGTCTGCATTAACCACAATACTTGTGGTCAGAATGCAGACATGATTCCTTGTATATATTTAACAATAAAATAATAATATATTTTATTATTTTATTGTTTCCCTTCAACGTTACTTTACCGAAAGAGCTAAGAATATGAATTACTGCAGTCACGAAAGCTTTAAATCAAAATTGAAGAGCTGTTTTCTTTTGAGTTTTGTATTCCCTTCAAGTGATGCTGCAAACTCATTCAATTTGTTTTGTCTATTCTATATATTTGAGGGGCAAAATCAGCTTGTGGGATATGAGCTACCAAACTAGCTTTGGTTGGCGTATAGATGAGGGTTTAAGGACTTGTGGTATAATAATACTTGGGACTGTAAAAAACAAATATATACTGTATTTTTTTTCGAATGGTTAAGAAAATATATTTCATCATGAGATTTTTTTGTTTTATTACAAACTGATATATTTCATTCTCAAGAACTGTAAATAAACCAAATGATCTGCAACAACCATCAACTTCATATTCGTGAGATCCTATTTGAACCAAGGGTGACTGAAACCAGGCTTTGAACTCAGGTTATAGACCTTAATTAATTGCAACATCCCTAGCAATCAGTGTGGTAGGTGACATCAGAGCAGGTGCCGGACTCACGGCAGAAGGTGTTGTTCCTCCACGTGACGATGACCCCAGCTTGGGCGCACTGGTCAGCGTAGGCCTGCAGGGCCTGGCACAGCGAGCCGTGGTCCCCACCCGTGGCACACAGGTCGAACACGCAGTTGTCGAAGAAGACTTGTGGAGGCAGCACCGCGTGGCACTCTTTGAAAGCTCCTGATGGAAGCGAGAAATACGATGTCAGTGTTAGAGGCATCGGCACATCACTCCTCTTCAACACAAATTGCTTTTACAAACATCTCATGGCTACAGGATTGCAGTATTTAGGGAAATGGTGATACAGTGGTTTGCGTCCTGCACTCTGAATTCAGTGACCGGAGTTAATTTAGTTAATATAGATTATGAGCAACAACGTATCATGTCACATAATTAAGTTCAGGAATGTTTATCGTGGCTTATAAGAGAGTTCAGAAGAAAACTGTAGAAGAGCTTTGATGTCTAAATTTATTTTCAAGTGATAAGATAATAATACAAATGGCACAAAATAATGAATGTGCAGACTCAAATAGCTATCACAGTTAAACTTGTAATGATACACAGACATTTAGTGGAAATGCCATGACTTCAATCTCATCAACTACAATCTTATGTGGAGTTATGAGTAACCAATCCTAAACGTGTAGTGACACCTAAATATAACAGACAACAATACTGACCCTCAGGGTCAGTGATTATTCCACAGAATGAATCGGATTCATACACGTCCTTGTCATTCTCATCACATGGAGGTATTTCTTCGGTACCATCTTGACAACTGTCAACAAACGACACGCAGGTTAATGTCACCAAGTTTAAAACAGAAAACATCAACACAAAAACAGTAGCAGTCTACATCGCCATCACCATCATCATGATGATCACTCACTGTAGCCCAAACTGCTACACCCATACATATACCCTCAGCGGCACAGCAGTCATATCTAATGTGACTGTGTGGCTCATTCTGACACTTTTTTTTCGATCTGAAGATCTAATTCCTTTTCAATACCAATGCTTTCCACGCGTAATTTCACAAAGGCTTTTGGATGATACTGTTGTAATTAGCAGTCACGCATAGAGATAACTGAGAAGAACGGATCCTCACTCATCATCGGAGCTGTTGAACACTCTCCAGCTGTTTCCCAGCTCGTTTGATGAGGCCGCTGCTGACCCATCAGGCTTCAGATTGTCATCTGAGCCATCTCCATTAAAGTTCCCTGTAAAACAACATAAAGCATTGCAATATACGATTTTCAATATACATGGTTTACATGTAAAAAAAATTAAAATCACTGAAATTCTACTGTAGAAAGTAAAAGCACATATTCTCTTTTTTTCATATGATACCACGTAATTAGAAATAATTACGTATCTGTAGCCTGTTTAGCTGAGGCATCTGTACTTTTGTCCTTATGAACTCGGATTTTAAATGAATATATTCAAATGGGAAAAAAATAGATTACAACTATCTTCACGCCTGCATAGTCTGTCAACTACAATCACGTTGGGATGTTATGCATTCTACAAGTGTCTAGTCAGCTGCTTATTGTGTCACTTCTCTCAGGAAATCAACTCACCGCAGATGCCGCACAGTTGCCCCGCGTATTCTCCGGGCACGACTATCTCCACATGGTGGTTCCCATCAAACCGAACAACCAGATTGAAATCGGTCTCGAGCACAACGTAGGATCCACTCAGTTGGATGTACACCCCGGACATGAAGAATGGTGGAGTCACACGCAGCCCATCCACCTGTAAACAAAACACAGAGCATTTTATGTAGAATCATCATGGTAGGATCAGCAATGCATGGTAGATTATAGTACAGAAATGATTGTTGTTATTCATTATGCTAATTTTATCGACTATTCTACATAAACATCGACATTCTTCCACCAAAGATGTATTATAGCATAAACATGGCTTGAATTTCGATTTAAAGCTTTCGTGACTGCAGGGATTAATCTTCTTGGTTCTTTCGGTAAAGTCACGTAGAAGGGAAATAATAAAATAATATTACGTTTTATTTTTATTATTTCCCTTCTACATGGCTTGAATGTTCACATATCTTAGGTAATTCTTTATAAGGTCAATTCCGAACCCCCAATTAAGGACATTGTTGAATTCAGAGTAAAAATAGCATGAAAATGGAAGGCACTGCAACGAAGCAATCATAATGAACATTAAAGTTATTGAGAGAGCAGCACTATGAGAGAGTGTTGTGCTCTGTGGTTGATGGTTCCTGGATGGCACGCACCGGCTCTGTGCAAATAACAATTCAAGGATGAAGTGAAACCCTCACCAGCACCCGGCGTCCTTTGGCCAAGGTGAACCTGTGGCCGTAGACATCCACGTGGACGTCCTTGACGTAAGACACGGCCGTGCTGCCGCCCCGGAACTCATTTGTTGTCTCCACGTTGAAGTGCGGCAGGGTGGAGCTCTGGTTGCACGGGACGGCTGCCGTGTAGGTGCACTCGCCCATGAAGTGGTGCGTCGTCTTGTCGAACGTGATGTAGTGAGGGTCTCCAGTGATCACGCAGTCGCCAGGTTCTGGAAATAGAGAATAAAATGTATTTTTTCACAAAAGTGGCATATGATGCAGAGTGGTGCACGATTCGTCAGATACAGAATTGGATGTTTCACAATTTAAGTAAACATAATCTTATCACATCTTGATGGACTGGTCATATTATATCTGGTACAAGTAGCCACAATGCTATACGAACTTGATTTGAAGCTTTTGTGACGGCAGGAATTACTCTTTGGTTCTTTCGGTAAAGTCACGTAGAAATAAAAGAAATTCAATAAGAGTACGACGTTTCGATTGCAACACAAGCAACCGTCATCAGGTAGAACTAAATTTGAGAGAGAGAGACAAAACACAGACACGGAGACACACAGACAGACACACAAGCAGAGAGAGAGACAACACAGAGAGACACACAGCATAGATACACAGAGCTACACAGAGAGAGACACACAACATAGATACACAGAGCTACACAGAGAGAGACACACAACACAGATACACAGAGCTACACAGAGAGAGACACACAACATAGATACACAGAGTTACACAGAGAGAGACACACAACACAGATACACAGAGCTACACAGAGAGAGACACACAACACAGATACACAGAGCTACACAGAGAGAGAAACACAACATAGATACACAGAGCTACACAGAGTGACTTTACCGAAAGAACCAAAGAGTAATGCTATACGAATAAAGTAATGGAAATGATTCTTAATTATACATTATTTATGTTAATCAAATAATAATCTAAAATTGTTGAGCTATGAGAGCATTGTATAAAATCAAGACAACCACACAAAAATAGTATTAAATGGTAGACACTCCTCGGCAACCCAGAGATTGAGTTATAATCCAAATTCAGTCGTAAACTTCAACTGGCATATGTTCTCTGATCCATGTGCTTCTATTTGGTTCTTCTTGTGTAATATCAAGCATGCACCACTCCGTGCTTATTTATGGACTTTTTAGTTCATTGTCAGTTTCCATTTTGCTGATCTATCACTGATAGTGTAATATGCACTGTTTGGTAACTTTCCTCTCCAGCTCGTTTGCCTCTTTATGTCATCATGAACCAATCAAACTGCAATAACTGCCTGATATATAAACACATATCCTGGTGTGATTTTTGGTTGTGTCCCCCCAAAGTTATCACATTTTGAAAAAGGAAAATAGTTATTCAGTAATGTATACCTTTGTCACTAAACTGGGGATAGAATTTGGTCCTATTCAGACAGTAAAACTGGACTTGAACATCTGATGAGTTAAATTTTGATTTAAAGCTTTCGTGACTGCAGTAATTCATATTCTTAGTGACTTTACCGAAAGAACTAAGAATATCTGATGATATTCTTAGTTTTTTCGGTAAAGTCACGTTGAAGAGAAACAACAAAATAACAAAATATATATAAAACAATAAAAAATTCTCACGACGTTTCGACCATAACTCAAACGGTCATCATCAGGTGTGTCGGTTTGCATAAATTTATTTTGAAAACGGCATATTTATTTATTTATTTATATAAAAATAACGTTTGCGTCACGCGCAACGATTGGCTGTTTGCCAGGACTAGTCCATCTATTTTTTGAAAAGAGGAGGGGGGAGACGAAATTTGTTTTTATGTATGCTGTCTGAAAGCCACTGTAAGCGTGAACAATCAATCAAGAACTGAAATGATTTATCAAATCTTTCCAATGATTGCTAAGATAGAATCCATCTTCTCGGTTGAAATTGTCTCTGTGTTTGTATATGTGGATAGCCTCATGAACGAATCTCTCATGGAAGCCAGATGGCTTACAAAGAACCTCCGTCTTGGAAAAGTCAATGGCATGTGAGCCTACTGAATTAGAACAATGATCTGCTACGGCCGAGGTGTTGGTCCTACCGTGTTTAAGGTCTGCTTTATGTTCACGAATACGGTCCGAGATATGGCGTTTGGTTTCTCCAATGTAACTACTACCACAGAGGCAACTTAGTTTGTAGACACCAGGGTATTGTATGTCCGGAATCACATCTTTTACAGACGGAACCAGATCACGGATTTTATGTAATGTGTTGAAACGGACCTGGATCTTGTGTTTATTCAAATAAATATGCCGTTTTCAAAATAAATTTATGCAAACCGACACACCTGATGATGACCGTTTGAGTTATGGTCGAAACGTCGTGAGAATTTTTTATTGTTTTATATATATTTTGTTATTTTGTTGTTTCTCTTCAACGTGACTTTACCGAAAAAACTAAGAATATGAATTACTGCAGTCACGAAAGCTTTAAATCAAAATTTAATCGCCTCTACGGGGAGGGTTTTCACATAACTTTAAGATCCTTCAACAAACTCCGGGATAAGAAAGCTCAGCTGATCGAGTCTCTCACCTTCCTGAAGAGATGCCGCGACTCTGGGGTAATACCAATCGCATTTACACTCACCTCTGCTACTGTAACTTCTTCTAATGCGAAACGAATTCTTTTCAAAACTAGCTTAGCTCTTATCTCAGAAAAAATCAGACTTATACGCACAGAACTAGATCAGTTAGACAAGACACTCTACAAATCACACTTATCATTGACGGCAATAATGTCCACATCGGATTGGGAACATGTAGACAATATGACTGCCTCTTCAGCTGCTACTATGTCGACCAAATGTAAGGAAAACCTGATTTCCAAATTTTACCTCCTCTTAAACAAAAGACCGGACCCACACACCAAAAAGTTAGACGTTAATAAAGTCGTAATTAATCGCAGTAACAGTTCTATTTCCGATGGTCTGAAATCCGTTTTAGCTAAAGGTCTAAACTTTGCAGTCACACCTAAACACATACCAGTTAATGATATAATTGCCCAAGTAGACGTTGCTCTCAGGGGCCTGGGTCACATCGCTGCAGACGTAGCAAGATCTGAAATCGCTGCAACCCTCAAAAACGCTAAGATGCCAGCTAGCAACCTCAGCAAAGATGAGCGTTTTGAATTATATAAATTAAAAAAGAGGAATGATATTGTAGTTCTCTCAGCTGACAAAGGCAATGCTACTGTTATCATGGATAAAATAGAATACAACAACAAAATTAAAGAATTACTCGACGATGGTAGTTATACAAAAATAAAAAGAGATCCCACCAACAGCCTCGTCACACAAACCAACAAAATAATTTCTGATTCAACCGCATTAATTGATCAATCTAAACAGTTTTCGTTGAAACCTTCTGCTGCCAGGCCACCAAGATTATACGGCTTACCAAAAATACATAAAGTTGATACACCTCTTCGTCCCATAGTTTCTACTATCAGCTCCCCCACCTACAAACTAGCTCGTTTTTTGTCTGAAATCCTGCGTCCTTTCACTGGAAAGACCACCTCTGCGGTACAAAATTCTACTCACCTAGTATCAACAATCAAGGGTATTTCCCTGTCCCCAGACGACCTGCTTGTCAGTTTTGATGTAGTTTCCTTATTCACCAAGGTTCCTGTACCTGACACCATTGCAATCATTGAAGACTTGGTTCATCAAGGACTAAACACTGAGGTACCCCCCCTGGTGAGACACTGTTTAACCAATACATACTTCACTTGGAATGGAACTTTCTACAAACAAACTGAGGGCACCCCAATGGGCTCCCCCCTTTCTCCAGTTATAGCTAACATTTTCATGGAGAAATTTGAGACTGACGCCATCCAGACTGCCACTCTGCGCCCAACCTTATGGAAGAGGTACGTGGATGACACTTTTGTCATCTGGCCACATGGCCGGCCTGCTCTAGACCAATTCTTCGACCACATCAATTCCATACACCCAGCCATCAGATTTACCATGGAAGTCGAAATAGATGGCAAGATACCTTTTTTGGATGTCCTAATTAAAAAGAGACCTGATGGTTCAATGAGCCACTCTGTCTACAGGAAAGCTACCCATACGGATGCTTATCTGAAACCGGATTCCCACCACCATCCATCACAGAAGAATTCTCTCATCAAGACTCTGTATCATAGAGCCCAATGCATATCCGACCAGGAACACATAAGCAGTGAACTCAAGCACGTACACCAAGCTCTTAGGGCTAATGGTTACTCCGACTATACAATCCGCAAAGCTATCACTCAAACCATGAAGAAGAACCCTCTTGAGGAGCCTTTCAAAACCATCACTTTACCCTACATTGCTGGGATCACAAAAAAGATCTCCAAAATCTTGAATAAACACAAGATCCAGGTCCGTTTCAACACATTACATAAAATCCGTGATCTGGTTCCGTCTGTAAAAGATGTGATTCCGGACATACAATACCCTGGTGTCTACAAACTAAGTTGCCTCTGTGGTAGTAGTTACATTGGAGAAACCAAACGCCATATCTCGGACCGTATTCGTGAACATAAAGCAGACCTTAAACACGGTAGGACCAACACCTCGGCCGTAGCAGATCATTGTTCTAATTCAGTAGGCTCACATGCCATTGACTTTTCCAAGACGGAGGTTCTTTGTAAGCCATCTGGCTTCCATGAGAGATTCGTTCATGAGGCTATCCACATATACAAACACAGAGACAATTTCAACCGAGAAGATGGATTCTATCTTAGCAATCATTGGAAAGATTTGATAAATCATTTCAGTTCTTGATTGATTGTTCACGCTTACAGTGGCTTTCAGACAGCATACATAAAAACAAATTTCGTCTCCCCCCTCCTCTTTTCAAAAAATAGATGGACTAGTCCTGGCAAACAGCCAATCGTTGCGCGTGACGCAAACGTTATTTTTATATAAATAAATAAATAAATATGCCGTTTTCAAAATAAATTTATGCAAACCGACACACCTGATGATGACCGTTTGAGTTATGGTCGAAACGTCGTGAGAATTTTTTATTGTTTTATATATATTTTGTTATTTTGTTGTTTCTCTTCAACGTGACTTTACCGAAAAAACTAAGAATATGAATTACTGCAGTCACGAAAGCTTTAAATCAAAATATCTGATGAGTTGTAAAATCTGATTCAGATCTGATTAAGATCAAATCAGGTCTGACCCAAGTCATCAATTATTTTCCAAGTGACGTATGCATACTGAAAGAAAAGGTTTCCCACATACATAAAGCCATCAGCCTATCCATTTCTATATAAGACACTGTCTCAGTCAATGGCATATACCAAAGCGGGTGCTGTGTTGCAGTATTTACTTGGAGGAACTGCTGTCGTATTGGTCGTGGTCGTGCTTGTTGGTGGACGAGTTGGTCCGGGCGTCGATTCTAATGGGAGGAATGTTTGGTTTACGAATGTCGCATTTACAGAATTAACGAATCATGGACACTTTTAGATTATTCACACAACGAAATCGAATTCTGCGTTCACGAAATTTCAAACGGCACGCGCAATGAGATCAAACGAGAAGCATCAGGGAGGTTGCATCATCCATCCGCGGTATCCTTGCAGTACAACAGTAACGCTTCCACATCATCTTTACGTTCATTCCAACACTCATATATTTTCGTGAGTTCCCTGAAAAGGCACATTATTTTTCTTCTAAATGTATTATTCAATCGTTTTAATATTTATATTATTCATTGTTATTATTGTTGGATTGTGAAAGGTGATATAGGTGTATATTTTAGGTTAAGAGTAGAGTTGGAATGATTGCCCAAAACACATCCCTCATTTTTTGTATAAAATGGATGGAAAAAGTAATTCTGATTCACGAAATTTAGTTTTATGCGTGTTTTTTTAAGAATGCATCCCTATTGTAAATCCATGGATACCTGTATTATAAAGGATGCTTAGATATTAACATGCACTTTTTTGTTCAGATAATCATAAAATAACACAAGTGGTCGTGGAAACATCTGGAAATTCCCATGTCAAATGACATGACAGATGCGCAAAGCAGTTTGGGTATTATAAGATGGCAGTTCACGGTGTGTTATGTTTGTCATGTGCTATGAGACAGGATTTTGTCATGAAGTTTATGTTAATGGAAAATATTAAATCAGCTGAAATTTACAGATTAGGTGTGCAGTTCGGTCATGTGTTTTTCTCAAGTTGAAGTCTAGTTGGGTGGTGCAAAAGGTTTAAAAGTCATCACAACTGTTGGTGCCATTAATTTTCTATGTACATTTCTTAAAGAACATGCATCTGGAACGAAGGCGTTATTACACCAATTTAACAAATGTGTGTATTCATCGGGGGAATTATTTGATATGGTCTCATTGCCTGCCACCGTTAATAATGTTTAATGTGTTATAGAAATGGTTAAATACGTTAAAACACAGCATTTGCAATTTACATTTATATTCAAATTACTGATTCTTTAGCCTGATATACATTTTATAATGCCTAGTGAAGCAACATATTATATATTGAATATTTATTTCAGTCTCTAAATTATGATACTTTCATTACTGTGAAAATTGAGAGCACTGTAATCTCAGGTTGATGTGAGTTATGCGTATATAATTAGTGTTGACACTGATGATGGTGATTTTATTGATGTGGGAAATGCATTTGCAAGTACATCTGTAGACGAAAATTCAAAAGGTGGGACCTCGGTGCCTTCATTGCATACAGAACGTTACAGGCAAGAATTGCATTATTTGTGAAGGATTATATTTATGTTTCTAATAATCGTGAACCTTTAAAAATTAGAATTTACCATCAGGCATTGTTAGAAATAAGGACAATGACAATTACGGTGCTGTGATCTCAATGTCATTTGTTTTGGGTACATTTACCTGTTGTTGATCCTGCTGGAGAATTTGGTGCTGATGTTGATTCTAACGATGGGGCCTCTGTGCCTTTATATATCAAAAAGCACAGCAGGGAAATGTATGTTTTTTGGTGTTTCAGTAGTCTTTGTGAAAAATACATCTTTCAGCATTGAAATATTAATGAGTTTCGTGAAATTATTGTTCTGTATTTTATTATATTTGAAAGCAGTTTATGCTTGTGGTTTTAAGTGCACGAGTGTAATGGTATATACACAATCCTTGAATTGCATTAATTATTACAAGCAAAATGAATTATGCTTCGTTGTAAAATGTCTTGATGTAGTGCTATAGTATTGTCATGTTTATAATGAGTGCATTTACTTGGTGTTGACGCTGCTGATGGTGATTTTGTTGTTGATGTTGGAAATACAGTTGGGGGTAAATCTGTAGACTGTGGAGGAGCTGGTGTTGATTCGAAAGGAGGGGCTTCGGTGCCTTCATTACATAGAGAATGTTACACGCAAGTAAGAAGTGAATTATTAGTGCAGGATTGTATTGCATTAACGTTCATAATCGTGAGCCTTTTATTAAAATGGTGTTTGGTGGTAAATCATGTATTGTTACGGTGCTGTGATCTCAATGTCATATATATTGTGCTGTGATCTCAATATTATATTGGTATTTGGTGCATTTACCTGGTGTGGATTGTGCTGGAGGATTTGATGCTGATGTTGATTCTAATGATGGGGCATCAGTGCCTTTATTGTGTAAGAAATGTAACAGACAGGTTATCAATTAGTTCTTGATAATTTTTAAATTAAGATTTTATAAGAAATGTATATTAGTGCTGCTGAACTAAAATTCACAGTCAAATATTTAATGTTGTCTTATAGTAAACAATATATTAAGTGCTTGATTTTGTATATTTACTTGGTGATGATATTGCTGATGGTGACTTTGTTGTTGACTGTGGAGGAGCTGGTGTTGATTCGAAAGGAGGGGCTTCGGTGCCTTCATTACGTAGAGAATGTTACACGCAAGTAAGAAGTGAATTATTTGTGCAGGAATGTATTGCGTTGAACCCTTAAAAAAATGTTTGTTTATAACAATGTTTGGTGGTAAAACATGTATTGTTACAGTGCTGTGATGTCAATGTCATTTTCTATTGAAAGCATTTATCTGGTGTTGATTCTGCTGGAGGATTTGGTGCTGATGTTGATTCTAATTATAGGGCCTCGGTGCCTTCATTGTGTAAGAAATGTGATGGCCAGGTCACCAATTAGCTGTTGAGGAATATTGCATTACATTTTAAAAATGCATCTATTTTTGTTGCTGTAACAATATGTACAGTAACTCTTTTTTGACCAATTGATTGAAAATCGCCTTAGGAATTGTTACATTTTTGCATAGAATGAGGTGATAATCGGTTGGTTTCAAACTATGAAAGATTCCTTTCCTAAATTCCAATTCGAATTAAGGCAGATATTTTAACTATGTATTAAAGTAATTTTATGTTTTCATTTGACTGTTTAGTGCATTGTATCGTACTATTTTTATTTAAAAAAATGTATTTGCAAATTAAATTTTAACATTAACATGGCAATGTGGTATTTGTGTGACATGTTGGATTACTATGGGGCCTTACCATTAATGTGTCATTTGCACTGTGTGAATTTAATTGACCTGGATGGTGCCGATGGGAATGTGGTCGATTTCTGTGTGGATGTTGGTAAATGTGGAGCTGGAGGAATTGGTTCAGTTGATTCTAATATTTGGGCTGCAGTATCTTCATTGCATAAACAACGTTACAGGCAAGTAAGAAGTGAATTATATATGGAGTACTGTATTGCATTAAAGTTCATCATCATGAACGCTTGAACACAATTAGTTATCTTTGTTAATTAATTTTAACAAATTATCTCTTGTAGTAAATCTTGTATTGTTGTACTACCGATCTCAATGCCATCTTTGTTTTCGGTACATTTACCTGGTGTTGATGTTTGGTGGTAAATCATGTATTGTTATGGTGTTGTGATCTCAATGTCATATATATAATGTGCTGTGTTCTCAATGCCATGTTTTATATTGAATGCATTTACCTGGTGTCGATTTTGCTGGAGGATTTGATGCCGATGTTGATTCTAACGATGGCGCCTCAGTGCCTTTTAAAGAGCAAAGAACACAGCAGGGAAATCTATAGGTTTTTGGCGTTTCAGTAGTCATTGTGAAGAAGACATCTATCAGCATTGAAATTGTAATCAGTTTTGTGAAATTATTGTTAGTATTCTATTGCAAATCTGTTTTTGCATGAAAAGTGGTTTATTTTTGTGAAAGCCGTTTATATTTCAGTTTTTAAGTGTACAAGTGTTTTTTACATTAAAAAAAAAGTTGAATTGTATTTATTATTGCGGCAAAATGAATTATGCTTCATTGCAAAAGATCTTAACGTGGTGCTGTAGTATTGTCATGTTTGTGTTAGGTGCATTTACTTGGTGTTGATGCTGCTGATGGTGATTTTGTTGTCGATGTCGGAAATACAGTTGGTGGTAAATCTGTAGTCTGCGCCGGAGCTGGTGTTGAGTCGAAAGGAGGGGCTTCAGTGCCTTCATTAGATAGAGAATGTTACAAGCAAGTAAGAAGTGAATTATTTGTGCAAGATTGTATTGTGTTGATGTTCATTCTCGTGAACCTTTAAAAAAATTATATTTGTTTATAACAATTACATCATTAGACCTCCTTTGCCAGTACCAAAATATAATAATAGGGTTTTTCCACTTTAGATTTAAAGCTTTCGTGACTGCTAGGATCCATACTCTTTGGTTCTATTGGGTAAAGTCACGTAGGTGAAAATAAAATAGCAAAAAATCACGACGTTTCGGCCACAACACAAGCGGCCTTCATCAGGTGAAGGGACGAGACTGTCTGGAGGACAGCGCTGGAGTGGGAGAAGCCACGCTTAGATCACGACCTTTAAGCTTGTGATCGCGGCATCTTTTGAGGAAGGTCAGCGTCTCGATGAGTTGCGACTTCTTGTCCCGTTGTCTGTTAAAAGCTATAACAGATAGGTGAAAGCCCTCCCCATAGAGGTTATCAATTCTAGATTTAAAGCTTTCGTGACTGCTAGGATCCATACTCATGCCGCGATCACAAGCTTAAAGGTCGTGATCTAAGCGTGGCTTCTCCCACTCCAGCGCTGTCCTCTAGACAGTCTCGTCCCTTCACCTGATGAAGGCCGCTTGTGTTGTGGCCGAAACGTCGTGATTTTTTGTTATTTTATTTTCACCTACGTGACTTTACCCAATAGAACCAAAGAGTATTTTTCCACTTTTTTCTGGCAACAAAACTGAAACCTTTTTACAAGGAATCATGTCTGCATTAACCACAATTTTGACCACAAGGAATTATGTCTGTATGAACCACAATTCTGACCACAAGTATTGTGGTTAATGCAGACATGACTCCGAGTTAAAAGGTTTCAGTTTTGTTGCCATAAAAAGGGGAAAACCCTTATTATTGTTTATAACAATGTTTGGTGGTAAATCATGTATTGTTACAGTGCTGTGATGTCAATGTCATACGTATAGTGTGCTGTGATTTCAATGTCATATTTTCTATTGAAAGCATTTATCTGGTGTCGATTCTGCTGGAGGATTTGGTGCTGATGTTGATTCTAATTATAGGGCCTCAGTGCCTTCATTGTGTAAGAAATGTGATGGCCAGGTCACCAATTAGCTGTTGAGGAAAATTGCATTACATTTTTAAATGCATCTATTTTTGTTGCTATAACAATATTTACAGTAACTCTTTTTTGACCAATTGATTGAACATAGCCTTAGGAATTGTTACATTTTTGCATAGAATGAGGGGATAATCGGTTGGTTTCAAACTGTGAAAGATTCCTTCCTAAATTAAACGAATTAAAGCAGATATTTTAACTATGTATTAAAGTAATGATATTTTTTCATTTGACTATTTAGTGCATTATGTCGTACTATTTTGGTTAAAACAATTTTATTTGCAAATAACATTTTAACATGAACATGGCAATGTGGTATTTGTGTGACATGTTGGATTACTATGGGGCCTTACCATTAATGTGTCATTTGCACTGTGTGAATTTAATTGACCTGGATGGTGCCGATGGGAATGTGGTCGATTTCTGTGTGGATGTTGGTAAATGTGGAGCTGGAGGAATTGGTTCAGTTGATTCTAATATTTGGGCTACAGTGCCTTCATTGCATAAACAACGTTACAGGCAAGTAAGAAGTGAATTATATATGGAGTACTGTATTGCATTAAAGTTCATCATCATGAACAATTGAAAATAATGAGCTTATTTTTGTGAATTAATTTAAACACATTATCTCTTATGGTAAATCTTGTATTGTTGTTGTACTACCGATCTCAATGTCATCTTTGAATTGGGTACATTTACCTGGTGTTGATCCTGCTGGAGGATTTGGTGATGATGTTGATTCTAACGATGGCGCATCAGTGCCTTTTAAAGAGCAAAGAACACAGCAGGGAAATCTATAGGTTTTTGGCGTTTCAGTAGTCGTTGTGAAGAAGACATCCATCAGCATTGAAATTGTAATCAGTCTTGTGAAATTATTGTTACGTATTCTATTGCAAACCTGTTTTTGCATGAAAAGTGGTTTCTTTTTGTGAAAGCCGTTCATATTTAAGCTAAGTGTACAAGTGTTTTTGTACATTTAAAAAATATTGAATTGTATTTATTATTGCGGCAAAATGAATTATGCTTCGTTATAAAAGATCTTGATGTAGTGCTGTAGTATTGTCATGTTTATGTTAGGTGCATTTACTTGATGTTGACGCTGCTGATGGTGATTTTGTTGTCGATGTCGGAAATTCAGTTGCTGGTAAATCTGTTGACTGTGGAGGAGCTGGTGTTGATTCGAAAGGAGGGGCTTCGGTGCCTTCATTACATAGAGAATGTTACACGCAAGTAAGAAGTGCATTATTTGTGCAGGATTGTATTGCATTGATTTTTATAATCGTAACCCTTTTATTATAACAATGATGGTTGGTGGCAAATCATGTATTGTTACGGTGCTGTGATATTTATGTCATACATATTATGCTGTGATCTCAATGTCATATTTGTATTGTGTGCATTTACCTGGTGTCGATTTTGCTGGAGGATTTGGTGCTGATGTTGATTCTAATGATGGGGCATCGGTGCCTTTATTGTGTAAGAAATGTAATAGACAGGTCATCAATTAGCTCTTGAGGATTTTTGAATTAAGATTTCATAAGAAATGTATATTAGTGCTGCTAAACAAATATTCATAGTGACATTTTTCATGTTGTCTGATAGTAAACAATGTATTAAGTGCTGTATTCGGTATATTTACTTGGTGGTGATGATATTGCTGACGGTGACCTTGTTGCTGGTATTGGAAATTCAGTTGCTGGTAAATCTGTTGACTGTGGAGGAGCTAGTGTTGATTCGAAAGGAGGGGCTTCGGTGCCTTCATTACATAGAGAATGTTACACGCAAGTAAGAAGTGAATTATTTGTGCAGGATTGTATTGTTGCATTGATGTTTATAATCGTAACATTTTTATTATAACAACGATGTTTGGTGGTAAATTATGTATTGTTACGGTGCTGTGATCTTTATGTCATACATATTATGCTGTGATCTCAATGTCATATTTGTAGTGTGCATTTACCTGGTGTCGATTGTGCTGGAGGATTTGGTGCTGATGTTGATTCTAATGATGGGGCATCGGTGCCTTTATTGTGTAAGAAATGTAATAGACAGGTCATCAATTAGCTCGTGAGGAATTTTGAATTAAGATTTCATAAGAAATGTATATTAGTGCTGCTAAACAAATATTCAGTGCATTTTTCATTGTCTGATAGTAAACAATGTATTAAGTGCTGTATTTGGTATATTTACTTGGTGGTGATGATATTGCTGACGGTGACCTTGTTGTTGGTATTGGAAATTCAGTTGCTGGTAAATCTGTTGACTGTGGAGGAGCTGGTGCTGATGGAGTTGGTGCTGGTGTAGACTCTGATGATACCACATAGCGAATTAGTTGAGGAAAATATTTCATGCAAATGTGTATTTGGTATTAATACAGAGTTGTGAGAATGATGTCCTTTTCATGGTAAATTGTCAAATATGTTACATATTGTCTTTGAATTTGCCAAAGTAAATGGCTTCAAAATATATCCAAGCTGCCATTTAGAATACACTGCTGGGGATGTATCAATGCCCTCTGGATATGCTGATGTAGTTCACTTGACTGTGGCACGGGTGCAATGTCCTTTTTTAGCCCATTCACTCGGTATCCAGTGTCCTAAACATTTCGAAGGCTTTTACCCCACTTTTCTCACAAAACCTCTCCACCATCATTCCTGACACTCCTTTCAAACACAAAAAAAATATTGTCTATTTTACATGAATCTGTTATAAAAACATGTTCAGCCATTCGTTTGTAATTCCTTTGGTAAATTTAAATAGTTACATTTTTGTTGTTAAACACATGCATGATACACACTAAGATGTCTATTTCTAGGGTTTTTTCCCCTTTTGTCTGGCAACAAAACCTTTTTACAAGGATTCATGTCTGCAAAAAAAACATACTATGATAATATATGCATTGTCCTTGAAACTGATTGGTCCACACCAAGGGACGGCTTTCTTTTGAGCCTCGACTCAATTGGTGCTCGACCAGATAATGCCAAAAGGCGTAAATGATCATAGTATGTTTTTTGTTTGCATTTTGACTGCAGGTATTGTGGTTAATGCAGACATGAATCCTCGTAAAAAGGTTTCAGTTTTGTTGCCAGAAAAAAGGGAAAAAACCCTATTATTACATTTTGGTACTGGCAAAGGAGGTCTAATGATGTCTATTTCTATCTATATATATAAAATTCGCATGTATCCATTCGTCTGTCCATCTCTCAAACGCTACATGTATAAAAATCAAAACATGGTCTCTTGCTGAGGGCATTCCGAGAAAATAGTGAAAAAAGGTATGCGAATATACATAAAAAATATAAATACCATGTATTTATTATTGTACATTAACTAGTGCTGAAACAGACACATTGGCATTTTTTTTATTCAGCAATGTTCGCATGCATCCTACCCTCTCCCCCACTTTGGGCTCAGGCTCATTTGGTACGGTCTGGATTTGGTGGTGAAATTTGTAATCCGGCCAGTTTCCAATGCATTGTTGTGCTTATGGTTGTGGTTGTAATGCGGTTATGGTTATGATTATAATGTTCTCGTGGTTTAAATAATAGTGTGCTTATGATTATGGTTATCGTGTGCTTATGGTTGTGGTCATAATGTGCTTATAATGTAGTTCTGATCATGCGTTTATAGTTGAAATTATGTGCTTATGGTTGTGGTTAGAATGTGGTTATGGTTGTGGTTATAACATTGTTGTTAATGTTGTTGATTTAAAGTAGACCAGAGATTGGCATTGGGAAATTAATAGTAAGCTATCTAAATAGCACTTGCAAATCACTTAAGTTATATCCCACGAACACATGCGGGCAGTTCTTGCATTATAATGTATGAAACAGAGGTGAGTGTCTTCAAATGTAAGCCAGTGCCTTGGATCTTGATGCTTACACGAAAGACATACAGTGCCTATCCATCTCTTTAAAAAAAAAGGATGCCAATCATACATTCAGGAAAGGCTCACTAAGTTTCAAGAGAGTTTTTTTTTTTAAGTTTGGCCATGTTGGAGGAAACCGGAGTACCTCGAGATAACCCACACACACAAGAGGTGACAATAATTATATATTATGGCATTCTTATAACCCCAAGCCTTGCTGGTCACCCATCCAAGAACTTATCAGGCTCAATGCTGCTTAGCTGACAACATATAAGTTGATGGGGTGCATTTAAAGTGCTTTGGTCAGAGACAATTAATAATAATTTGGACACAAATACAATTAAAGCTCGTTATGTGTGGGCAGGTTATCCTTGATTGTAACAAAAAATATTTTAAGTTTTATGTGTGGGCTGGTTGAATTCCGAGCTACCCCTGTTTCATGATGAATTATTGCATAGGTTAGGGCAATAATTCAACATGTCAGCAAAAATACTTGTTATTTTATGAAACAATAAAGATAAGGAACACATTCTACATACATTCTGTTTCAGCAACCTTCCAATGGCTTGCTATGTTACGGCGCTAGAGAAGTCACAATATTATTTATTCATCCCCATTCTATCTAACTCAGAAATATGTCTTTGTATAATTTATATGTTTTGAAGTATCCATATTTCGTTTTATCCGGGCAACCCCTCCACACCATTACACTGAATAAATTAGTGTACAGTTTTGGAGTGTCATCATCTAGACCTGGAAAACAATGTTTCAGAGCATCATATGTAGACTGAAAAGTCACGCAGGGAGCACTCACCCTGTGTGTGACAGCCCAGGATGCCATCCACCACACTGCAGATCTCATCGTCCTTACAGACCCAGGCGTCACAGCTCACATTGCCGCCAGGATTGACACAGATGCAGCGCTTGCTGCAGTCATGCGACTCAAACCAGCTCTCCCCGAGCTGAGATACAAATGCAATGTCTTTAGAAACATCTCAGTTGACCTTTTAGCTATTATTATGATGACGAGTAAATAAAAAAACACATGAATGCTTTTGACTGTGACATGAAATCCGATTCTTAATTAAGGAAGATTCAAACTTGTGTTGGCCTGTATCAAACACAACGCCTAGGATAGGGATTTACGTACATATCTTTGCTTAGCTCACCGGATGGTAGTGGCCATTGTTATCCAGGCAACCGCACTGTTCTGTAGGGACACACTTGTCCCCAGAGAGGACAAAGCCGTCGTCACAGACACAGCCCTCTGCACATTGCTGGTTGCAGCCACCCGGGAGACTTGCGTTGCTGCAGGTGGCCGGGCACGGTGGGGCACAGCTCTCATAGTGGCTGCCCGGTTCACACGGGAATGCTGTGGGTGTCACACACAACAATAATCTTGAATAATCTTTGATTTCCAATGGTACTTAAATACTTCAGAAACTCAAAACACCTTCAGTTACATGTTATCTCAAACATTTGGAAGGGACCGGATATTGGTAGCTGTCTCTGTGCAGCACAAAGTGACTGAGCACCAGCCAATCATGGGAATTAGTCTCCCAGTAAGGGGCAATGTTGTTATGTGTAATCCAGATTGAGTAATTGGCAGCTAATTTTACAAAGTTGCCAAGTTTGGATCAAGACATCAGCACACAACGGCATACTCTGTTTAATGTCAGGGAATCTGTAGCATTCAATGTAAAGTGAACCGTGTATGGTTAATACACCCGCACTATTAACAATGCATCTAACGCAATGGACAGCCCTAGTTAGGATTGCATTTCACTTATTATATTAAAACTGAATCGTTTATTTAGGCCACCATAGATTAGCATACTTACAATGACATGTCCATCAAATCACATCAGAATCAAATTTCATGGCTGATCAATCAGTGTGGCGGTGACATCACAGCGGGCGCTGCACTCACGGCAGAAGGTGTTGTTCCTCCACGTGACGATGACCCCAGCTTGGGCGCACTGGTCGGCGTAGGCCTGCAGGGCCTGGCACAGCGAGCCGTGGTCCCCACCCGTGGCACACAGGTCGAACACGCAGTTGTCGAAGAAGACTTGTGGAGGCAGCACCGCGTGGCACTCTTTGAAAGCTCCTGATGGAAGCGAGAAATACGATGTCAATCTTAGCGGCATCGACTCCTCTTGATGCAGCAGCCGTGAAATGGTTTGTGCACTGTGCTCCCATTAACAGCAAAACAACTTTGAACGCCAATTATCTGTAGAAACAATTTCATCATGGATCGCGAAAAAGTTTTGAAAAAGAAAACGTGTAATAAAAATTTCGTAGCCTCTATATTTTTTTAAGTGATAATAAAAAATAATATTATGCCAACTGGAATTGAATGCCTATCACACAGGTAAACTTATTGTGGGTATATCTCCATGGGGTGGAAATGCCACAGTGTCTGCAATCTAATGAAGTCCATTCTCATGCACAGTTATGAGTTAACAGCTGAACTTAACGGAGAGCAATACCCACCCTCAGGGTCAGTGATTATTCCACAGAACGTATCCGATTCATACAGGTTCTTGTCATTCTCATCACATGGAGGTATTTCCCCGGTATCATCTTGGCAACTGTCAACAAACACACACGCAGGTTAACCTCACCGAGTTTAAAAGAAAAGACATAACTTGAAACATAATCACAGTCGTCATTACCATCATCATCATGAAGAAAACTCACTGTAGCCCAAACAGCTGACACAAATACAGCATCAGTGGCACAATAGTCAGATCTAATGTAAGCATGGGGCCCATGTTTGGCACTTCTTGTCTATCTCGAGCTCGAATGGCTGTCAATACCAATGCCTTCCATGTGTATTATCCAGAGGCTTTTGCAATGGCACTGTTGTAATTATCAGACGCGCATGGACATAATTGAGAAGAACGGATCCTCACTCATCATCAGAACTGTTGAACACTCTCCAGCTGTTTCCCAGCTCGCTGGATGAGGCCGCAGCTGACCCATCCGGCTTCAGATTGTCATCTGAGCCATCTCCATTAAAGTTCCCTGTAAGACAACACAAGTCGTTCCATTACTGTATTTGCAAGCTAGATGGTTTACATGCAAAACATCACTTTTTAATGGAATGCCTATTAACGATTGTATTTTAGTTGGAATGTATGGCTGATAATGCTCTATGGTTGACAATGAAGTCCGCTGTGTTTGGCAATTAATACGTGCAAAATGGACAGGTAGCTGACATTTTTTTTCTCTAATGGAATTGCTCCCTCACTGTTCAAATAAACCTACCATTAAAATTATAGACTGATCATTTATTTGTCAGTGGGCAAACGTACAAAATCAGCAGAGGCTCAAATACTTTTTTTCCCTCACTGTACATGCATTCGTCCATTCGCCTGGCTCATAAAAGGCCCTGTTCATACTCTCCTTACTGTAACTCCCGTGTCAACAACAATTACCTTAACATTTTTTATATTCTACATTGTCCAGTCAGCTGCTAATTGTGTTATTCTCCCAGGAGATCAACTCACCGCAGATGCCGCACAGTTGCCCCGCGTATTCTCCAGGCACGACTATCTCCACATGGTGGTTCCCATCAAACCGAACAACCAGATTGAAATCGGTCTCCAGCACGACGTAGGATCCACTCAGTTGGATGTACACCCCGGACATGAAGAATGGTGGAGTCACACGCAGCCCATCCACCTGTAAACAAAACACAGAGCATTTTATGTAGAGACCTCGCAGGAGGATCAATAATGCACAGTGCATTATCGTAAACTAAATATCTTTTTTGAATAATTAGGAATATTTTATCCACTATTCTTAGTAAACATCGACATATATCCATCGAGAAATTATGGCATAAACATCGCTTGAATATTCACACATTTTACGTCTTTCTTTAGAAGGTCAATTCCTAACTACCCAATAAAATTTCCAAATATCAAGGTATACATATATATTATATTATTCACACACAAGTGAGAAAAATGAGACGACATGCCACGCTGCGTACATCATTTCAACAATACAAGATACAAACATATAGGGGAAAAAAGTGAAGGTAGCATCTTTCAAGCATCAGGTGACACCGTGGACATTGTTAAATGCGGAGTAAAACTTGTTTACAATGGAAGACGCTTTAGGACAATACAATGAATATATCACGATGAGGAACAATATGGTTATTGAGATATCACTGCATGAGAGAGTGTTGTGCCTTGTGGTGATGGCTCCTGGATGGCACGCACTGGCTCTGTGCAAATAACAATTAAAGGATGAAGTGAAACCCTCACCAGCACCCGGCGTCCTTTGGCCAAGGTGAACCTGTGGCCGTAGACATCCACGTGGACCTCCTTGACGTAAGACACGGCCGTGCTGCCGCCCCGGAACTCATTTGTTGTCTCCACGTTGAAGTGGGGCAGCAGGGTGGAGCTCTGGTTGCACGGGATGGCTGCCGTGTAGGTGCACTCGCCCATGAAGTGGTGCGTCGTCTTGTCGAACGTGATGTAGTGAGGGTCTCCAGTGATCACGCAGTCGCCAGGTGCTGAATAAAGAGAAAAGGATTGTTTTCGACTTAACCGGAAATTATTTTTGAGACATTTTTGCCTTTGGCATGTAAATATGAAGCTTTGAAAAAAGTATGCACCTGTGAATATCCATGTATATTTATAATCAGAGTTAAAGTGTATAACTTCTTAAACGAGTGGGTAGTGCTCATCGCCATTTAACGCTTCGAAGTCAGCTTCATATTGTAAATACACAATACAGGAAATAATTTACAAGACATTTTGTCAATCCATTCATGAATGAAAGTCTCCCCACACCATGTCGATCATGCGGAGTTTTTGTTTATTAAACTTAACTACGCTGGTCACTGGGTGTTGGTGAAGTGTGGGCCCAGGATTGGTTCATCTATGAGTTGCCATTGAAGTTAGTCATGGGCAGGAATTTAACTAAGGTCACTGGGTCCAAATTTAAATGTGATAGTCACTGCACCATGTCATCCCCTTGCAGTGTGTGGGATGTGTTAGCGAAGTGTTTGATGTGTTAATGTAGTGCGATGTATTTAGCTAACATGCTCATGATGCAACTTTCTTACGTTTTGGCGGGGTTGTTGGTGGCACTGTTGGCCCTGTTTCGACGCAAATGAAAAAAAGAACAGATTAGTACCAAGTGCATCTGACAAAACAAAATTCGATTTTATAAAGTGTCTGCCTGCTCCAATGCTGCTAAAGGACAAAAACTATTTCTAAAAGGAAGAATCTCAGAGGTCACGCGGAGGTCTTAGGGCAGAGTGTTCCAGATCTGATGACCAAGGACCGAACAAGCCCGAGCTCTAAAGATTTGTTGATGACAAGGTGGCCTACAGAGAGACACGGTGTGAAACATGAATATGAAGAGCGCAACTACGATAGAACTTTTGAAAAAAGCAGAATTCGCAAACTGCAGTGAGTGGTTCACCTGAGCCATGGCAGCCCAGGATGCCGTCCTCCACACCGCAGGTCTCGTCGTCCTCACAGACCCAGGCCCCACAGTTCACATTGCCAGGATTGACACAGATGCAGCGCTGGCTGCAGTCCTGTGACTCAAACCAGCTCTCCCCGATCTGAGACACACAACACGCACGCGTTACCTCCATTGCACTCTCTAATGCAGAACACACTGTCACAAAGTAATCTCTGAAGCAGTCCTCAGCCCATTTTCACCAGCTCTCGTGGAGCAGTGCGATGAAGAGTGGTGAAACGATCTCCACGCTTGACACGGTGATTTACACAGCATGGAGATGCCTTCATTACAAAAAAATATATTTTAATACATATATATTTTGTATAATTCGGAATAGATCCATATACCTGAACCCATTGCCTGTTTACAGTCGGTTAAATGGGTTGCTTTAAGATTTCAGGAATTTGCAACAAAAAGATACGTGTACTCATCAATGCTTGGGAACGAGAAGAAATGGTGAAACAATACGTTTGTTATGGTGTATTAAATTTACAAATAAAAGCTGTAATAAAAAGACGTTAAATTAGATTAAATACAGATGACAAATAAAAAATGCAAACATCTCATATTGGTTATTCGTTGCTGTGTGTGCCACTGTCCCAAATGAATTTAAGATCTCAGTAATAAGTAAGATTCTCACTTACATTTTCAGTGAGGAATATTACTGGGCCGTCACTTCAGTGATGCTGTATTATAAAATATGGGAGTGACGGTGCAGTGGCATCACCAGAACACTTATAACTTAAAAAACAAATTTCATCATTAAGGACACTTCAACTTGTTGGGCAGTACAGAACACAGGAATATAATAGGAATCTACATGCGCAGAACTGTTTGTTTTTTGTTTGTAATTTTGCTTAGCTCACCGGATGGTAGTGGCCATTGTTATCCAGGCAACCGCACTGATCTGTAGGGACACACTTGTCCCCAGAGAGGACAAAGCCGTCGTCACAGACACAGCCCTCTGCACATTGCTGGTTGCAGCCAGCTGGGGGATTTGCGTTGCTGCAGGTGGCCGGGCACGGTGGGGCACAGCTCTCATAGTGGCTGCCCGGTTCACACGGGAATGCTGTGGGTGTCACACACAACAATAATCTTGAATAATCTTTGATTTCCAATGGTGCTTAAATACTTCAGAAACTCAAAAAACTTTAGTCACATGTTATCTCAAACATTTAAAGGCGGTTTTACACGTAGGCTTTTGTGATCAATATCATCCATAATACAGATTTTTTTTTTGGGTTAGATCGCGTAAATATTCAAAGGCGGCTGGATATTGGCAGCTGATTCTGGGCAGCACAAGGTGACTGAGCACCAGCTTGTCATCGGAATTAGTCTGCCAGTAAGAGCAATGTTGTTATTTGTAATCCAGATCGAGTAATTGGCAGACGATTTTGCACATTTGGCAAATTTCAATAACACCATCACACAAAAGCCTACTTTGTTTAAAATGTCAGAGAATCTGTAGCGCCCAATGTAAAGCAGATGGTGAGTATTTATGGATAATACACCCGCACTATTAACAATGCGTCTGCCATGCAGTGGAAAACCCTAGATAGGTTTGAATTTGACTTATCATATTAAAATTGCATGGTGTATCTGGCCTCTATAGATTAGCAGATTTACCATCACATGACCATCAAATCACAATCAAATTTCATGGCTGGGCAATCAGTGTGGCGGTCACATCACATCGGCTGGTGCACTCACGGCAGAAGGTGTTGTTCCTCCACGTTACGATGACCCCAGCTTGGGCGCACTGGTCGGCGTAGGCCTGCAGGGCTTGGCACAACGAGCCGTGGTCCCCACCCGTGGCACACAGGTCGAACACGCAGTTGTCGAAGAAGATTTGTGGAGGCAGCACCGCGTGGCACTCTTTGAAAGCTCCTGATGGAAGCGAGAAATACGATGTCAATCTGAGCGGCATCGACACATCACTCCTCTTGATGCAGCAGCGGTGAAATGGTTTGTGCACTGTGCTCCCATTAATAGCAAAACAACTTTGAACGCTAATTATCTGTAGTAACAATTTCATCATTGATCGTGAAAGAGTTTTGAAAAAAAATACGTGTAATAAAATTTTTGTACCCTCCATACTTTTAAAAGTGACAATAATAAAAAAAACATTATGCCAAATAGAATTGAATGCCCATCACACAGGTAAACTTGTTGTGGGTATAGCTCCATGGAGTCGAAATGCCACAATGTCTGCAATCTAAGGAAGTCCATTCTCATGCACAGTTATGAGTTAACAGCTGAACTTAACGGAGAGCAATACCCACCCTCAGGGTCATTGATTATTCCACAGAACGTATCCGATTCATACAGGTTCTTGTCATTCTCATCACATGGAGGTATTTCCCCGGTATCATCTTGGCAACTGTCAACAAACACATGCGCAGGTTAACCTCACCGAGGTTGAAAGAGAAAATATCACTTGAAACATAATCACAGTCGTCATTACCATCATCATCATGAAGATAACTCACTGTAGCCCAAACAGCTGACACAAATACAGCATCAGTGGCACAACAGTCAGATCTAATTTAAGCATGGGGCCCATGTTTGGCACTTCTTGTCTATCTCGAGCTCGAATGGCTGTCAATACCAATGCCTTCCATGTGTATTATCCAGAGGCTTTTGCAATGGCACTGTTGTAATTATCAGACGCGCATGGAAATAGTTGAGAAGAACGGATCCTCACTCATCATCAGAACTGTTGAACACTCTCCAGCTGTTTCCCAGCTCGCTGGATGAGGCCGCTGCTGACCCATCCGGCTTCAGATTGTCATCTGAGCCATCTCCATTAAAGTTCCCTGTAAGACAACACAAGTCGTTCCATTACTGTATTTGCAAGCTAGATGGTTTACATGCAAAACATCACTTTTTAATGGAATGCCTATTAACGATTGCATTTTAGTTGGAATGTATGGCTGATAATGCTCTATGGTTGACAATGAAGGTCGCTGTGTTTGGCAATTAATACGTGAAAAATGGACAGGTAGCTGACATTTTTTCTCTTATGGAATTGCTCCCCACAACAGAAGTACATTTTTCCATTCGACATCAGTGCTTTTATGCTACCACTGCAGTCACGTTGCTCTCTCTTAGTCACCATATGTGGTTTCCTTACTTGGCTAACTCCTCATCTGTGCTGCGAACAGCTGCCTCTCCAGGCTGTTATGTTGTACTTGCTCATCTGTGCTGTCGACATACAGTGAGGGAAAAAAGTATTTGATCCCTTGCTGATTTTGTACGTTTGCCCACTGACGAAGAAATAATCAGTCTATAATTTTAATGGTAGGTTTATTTGAACAGTGAGACAGAATAACAACAAAATTCATAAAAACGCATGTCAAAAATGTTATAAATTGATTGGCATTTAATGAGGGAAATAAGTATTTGACCCCTCTGCAAAACATGACTTAGCACTTGGTGACAAAACACTTGTTGGCAATCACAGAGGTCAGACGTTTCTTGTAGTTGGCCACCAGGTTTGCACACATCTCAAGAGGGATTTTGTCCCACTCCTCTTTGCAGATCTTCTCTAAGTCATTAAGGTTTCGAGGCTGACGTTTGGCAACTCGAACCTTCAGCTCCCTCCAAAGATTTTCTATGGGATTAAGGTCTGGAGACTGGCTAGGCCACTCCAGGACCTTATTGTGCTTCTTCTTGAGCCACTCCTTTGTTGCCTTGGCCGTGTGTTTTGGGTCATTGTCATGCTGGAATACCCATCCACGACCCATTTTCAATGCCCTGGCTGAGGGAAGGAGGTTCTCACCCAAGATTTGACGGTACATGTCCCCGTCCATCGTCCCTTTGATGCGGTGAAGTTGTCCTTTCCCCTTAGCAAAAAAACACCCCCAAAGCAAAATGTTTCCACCTCCATGTTTGAAGGTGGGGATGGAGTTCTTGGGGTCATAGGCAGCATTCCTCCTCCTCCAAACATGGTGAGTTGAGTTGATGCCAAAGAGCTCCATTTTGGTCTCATATGACCACAACACTTTCACCCAGTTGTCCTCTGAATCATTCAGATGTTCATTGGCAAACTTCAGATGGGCATGTATATGTGCTTTCTTGAGCAGGGGGACCTTGCGGGCGCTGCAGGATTTCAGTCCTTCACGGCGTAGTGTGTTACCAATTGTTTTCTTGGTGACTATGGTCCCAGCTGCCTTGAGATCATTGACAAGATCCTCCCGTGTAGTTCTGGGCTGATTCCTCACCGTTCTCATGATCATAGCAACTCCACGAGGTGAGATCTTGCATGGAGCCCCAGTCGAGGGAGATTGACAGTTATTTTGTGTTTCTTCCATTTGCGAATAATCGCACCAACTGTTGTCATCTTCTCACCAAGCTGCTTGGCAATGGTCTTGTAGCCCATTCGAGCCTTGTGTAGGTCTACAATCTTGTCCCTGACATCCTTGGAGAGCTCTTTGGTCTTGGCCATGGTGGAGAGTTTGGAATCTGATTGATTGCTTCTGTGGACAGGTGTCTTTTATACAGGAAACAAGCTGAGATTAGGAGCACTCCCTTTAAAAGTGTGCTCCTAATCTCAGCTTTCTGATTGAGAGGGGGTCAAATACTTATTCCCCTCATTAAAATGCAAATCAATTTATAACATTTTTGACATGCGTTTTTCTGGATTTTTTAATTGTTATTTTGTCTCTCACTGTTCAAATAAACCTACCATTAAAATTATAGACTGATCATTTCTTCGTCAGTGGGCAAACGTACAAAATCAGCAGAGGATCAAATACTTTTTTCTCTCACTGTACATGCATTCGTCCATTCGCCTGGCTTATAAAAGGCCCTGTTCATACTCTCCTTACTGTAACTCCCGTATCAAAAACAATTACCTTGACATTTTTTTATATGCTACATTGTCCAGTCAGCTGCTTATTGTGTTATTCTCCCAGGAGATCAACTCACCGCAGATGCCGCACAGTTGCCCCACGTATTCTCCAGGCACGACTATCTCCACATGGTGGTTCCCATCAAACCGAACAACCAGATTGAAATCGGTCTCGAGCACAACATAGGATCCACTCAGTTGGATGTACACCCCGGACATGAAGAATGGTGGAGTCACACGCAGCCCATCCACCTGTAAACAAAACAAAGAGCATTTTATGTAGAGACCTCGCAGGAGGATCAATAATGCACAGTGCATTATCGTAAACTAAATATCTTTTTTGAATAATTAGGAATATTTTTTCCACTATTCTTAGTAAACATCGACATATATCCATCGAGATATTATGGCAAAAACATCGCTTGAATATTCACGTATTTTACGTCTTTCTTTAGAAGGTCAATTCCTAACTCCCCAATAAAATTTCCAAACATCAAGTTATACATATATATTCGTTTATTCACACACAAGTGAGAAAAATGAGATGACACGCCACGCTGCGTACATCATTTCAACAATACAAGATACAAACATATAGGGGGAAAAAGCGAAGGTAGCATCTTTCAAGCATCAGGTGACACCGTGGATATTGTTAAATGCGGAGTAAAACTTGTTTACAATGGAAGTCGCTTTAGGACAATACAATGAATAAATCACGATGAGGAGCAATATGGTTATTGAGATATCACTGCATGAGAGAGTGTTGTGCCTTGTGGTGATGGCTCCTGAATGGCACGCACCGGCTCTGTGCAAGTAACAATTAAAGGATGAAGTGAAACCCTCACCAGCACCCGGCGTCCTTTGGCCAAGGTGAACCTGTGGCCGTAGACATCCACGTGGACCTCCTTGACGTAAGACACGGCCGTGCTGCCGCCCCGGAACTCATTTGTTGTCTCCACGTTGAAGTGGGGCAGGGTGGAGCTCTGGTTGCACGGGATTGCTGCCGTGTAGGTGCACTCGCCCATGAAGTGGTGCGTCGTCTTGTCGAAAGTTATGTAGTGAGGGTCTCCAGTGATCACGCAGTCGCCAGGTGCTGAATAAAGAGAAAAGGATTGTTTTCGACTTAACCGGAAATTATTTTTGAGACATTTTTGCCTTTGGCATGTAAATATGAAGCTTTGAAAAAAGTATGCACCTGTGAATATCCATGTATTTTTATAATCAGAGTTAAAGTGTATAACTTCTTAAACGAGTGGGTGGTGCTCATCGCCATTTAACGCTTCGAAGTCAGCTTCACATTGTACATACACAATACAGGAAATAATTTACAAGAAATTTTGTCAATCCATTCATGAATGAAAGTCTCCCCACACCATGTCGATCATGCGGAGTTTCTGTTTATTAAACTTAACTACGCTGGTCACTGGGGGTTGGTGAAGTGTGAGCCCAGGATTGGTTCAAATATGAGCTGCCACTGAAGTTAGTCATGGGCAGGAATTTAACTAAGGTCACTGGGTCCAAATTTAAATGTGATAGTCACTGCACCATGTCATCCCCTTGCAGTGTGTGGGATGTGTTAGCGTAGTGTTTGATGTGTTAGTGTAGTGCGATGCATTTAGTTAACATGCTCATGATGCAACTTTCTTACGTTTTGGCGGGGTTGTTGGTGGCACTGTTGGCCCTGTTTCGACGCCAATGAAAAAAAGAACAGATTAGTACCAAGTACATCTGACAAAACAAAATTCGATTTTATAAAGTGTCTGCCTGCTCCAATGCTGCTAAAGGACAAAAACTATTTCTAAAAGGAAGAATCTCAGAGGTAACGCAGAGGTCTAGAGCAGAGTGTTCCAGATCTGACGACCAAGGACCGAAAAAGCCCGAGCTCTAAAGAGTTGTTGATGACAAGGTGGCCTACAGAGAGACACGGTGTGAAACATGAATATGAAGAGCGCAACTACGATGGAACTTTTGAAAAAAGCAGAATTCGCAAACTGCAGTGAGTGGTTCACCTGAGCCATGGCAGCCCAGGATGCCGTCCTCCACACCGCAGGTCTCGTCGTCCTCACAGACCCAGGCCCCACAGTTCACATTGCCAGGATTGACACAGATGCAGCGCTGGCTGCAGTCCTGTGACTCAAACCAGCTCTCCCCGATCTGAGACACACAACACGCACGCGTTACCTCCATTGCACTCTCTAATGCAGACCACACTGTTAGAAAGCTCTCGTGGAGCAGTGCGATGAAGAGTGGTGAAAAAATCTCCATGCTTGACACGGTGATTTACACAGCATGGAGATGCCTTCATTACAAAAAAATATATTTTAATACATATATATTTTGTATAATTCGGATTAGAGCCATATACCTGAACCCATTGCCTGTTTACAGTCGGTTAAATGGGTTGCTTTAAGATTTCAGGAATTTGCAACAAAAAGATACCTGTACTCATCAATGCTTGGGAACGAGAAGAAATGGTGAAACAATACGTTTGTTATGGTGTATTAAAATTTACAAATAAAAGCTGTAATAAAAAGACGTTAAATGAGATTAAATGCAGATGACAAATAAAAAATGCAAACATCTCATGTTGGTTCTTCGTTGCTGTGTGTGCCACTGTCCCAAATGAATTTGAGATCTCAGTAATAAGTAAGATTCTCACTTACATTTTCATTCAGGAATATTACTGGGCCGTCACTTCAGTGATGCTGTATTATAAAATATGGGAGTGACGGTGCAGTGGCATCACCAGAACACTTATAACTTAAAAAAAACATTTCATCATTAAGGACACTTCAACTTGTTGGGCAGTACAGAACACAGGAATATAATAGGAATCTACATGCGCAGAACTGTTTGTTTTTTGTTTGTAATTTTGCTAGGCTCACCGGATGGTAATGGCCATTGTTATCCAGGCAACCGCACTGATCTGTAGGGACACACTTGTCCCCAGAGAGGACAAAGCCGTCGTCACAGACACAGCCCTCTGCACATTGCTGGTTGCAGCCAGCTGGGGGATTTGCGTTGCTGCAGGTGGCCGGGCACGGTGGGGCACAGCTCTCATAGTGGCTGCCCGGTTCACACGGGAATGCTGTGGGTGTCACACACAACAATAATCTTGAATAATCTTTGATTTTCAATGGTGCTTAAATACTTCAGAAACTCAAAAACCTTTAGTCACATGTTATCTCAAACATTTAAAGGCGGTTTTACACGTAGGCTTTTGTGATCGATATCATCCATAATACAGATTTTTTTGTGGGTTAGATCACGTAAATATTCAAAGGCGGCTGGATATTGGCAGCTAACTCTGGGCAGCACAAGGTGACTGAGCACCAGCTTGTCATCGGAATTAGTCTGCCAGTAAGAGCAATGTTGTTATTTGTAATCCAGATCGAGTAATTGGCAGATGATTTTGCACATTTAGCTAATTTCAATAACACCATCACACAAAAGCCTACTTTGTTTAAAATGTCAGGGAATCTGTAGCGTTCAATGTAAAGCAGATGGTGAGTATTTATGGATAATACACCCGCACTATTAACAATGCATCTGCCATGGAATGCAAAACCCTAGTTAGGTTTGAATTTAACTTATCATATTAAAATTGCATGGTGTATCTGGCCTCTATAGATTAGCAGATTTACGATCACATGTCCATCAAATCACAATCAAATTTCATGGCTGGGCAATCAGTGTGGCGGTGACATCACATCGGCTGGTGCACTCACGGCAGAAGGTGTTGTTCCTCCACGTGACGATGACCCCAGCTTGGGCGCACTGGTCAGCGTAGGCCTGCAGGGCCTGGCACAGCGAGCCGTGGTCCCCACCCATGGCACACAGGTCGAACACGCAGTTGTCGAAGAAGATTTGTGGAGGCAGCACCGCGTGGCACTCTTTGAAAGCTCCTGATCGAAGCGAGAAATACGATGTCAATCTGAGCGGCATCGACACATCACTCCTCTTGATGCAGCAGCGGTGAAATGGTTTGTGCACTGTGCTCCCATTAATAGCAAAACAACTTTGAACGCTAATTATCTGTGGTAACAATTTCATCATGGATCGTGAAAGAGTTTTGAAAAAAAATACGTGTAATAAAATTTTTGTAGCCTCCATACTTTTTAAAGTGACAATAATAATTTAAAAAAAACATTATGCCAAATATAATTGAATGCCCATCACACAGGTAAACTTGTTGTGGGTATAGCTCCATGGAGTCGAAATGCCACAATGTCTGCAATCTAAGGAAGTCCATTCTCATGCACAGTTATGAGTTAACAGCTGAACTTAATGGAGAGCAATACCCACCCTCAGGGTCAGTGATTATTCCACAGAACGTATCCGATTCATACAGGTTCTTGTCATTCTCATCACATGGAGGTATTTCCCCGGTATCATCTTGGCAACTGTCAACAAACACACGCGCAGGTTAACCTCACCGAGTTTGAAAGAGAAAACATCACTTGGAACATAATCAGTCGTCAATACCATCATCATCGTGAAGATAACTCACTGTAGCCCAAACAGCTGACACAAATACAGCATCAGTGGCACAACAGTCAGATCTAATGTAAGCATGGGGCCCATGTTTGGCACTTCTTGTCTATCTCGAGCTCGAATGGCTGTCAATACCAATGCCTTCCATGTGTATTATCCAGAGGCTTTTGCAATGGCACTGTTGTAATTATCAGACGCGCATGGAAATAGTTGAGAAGAACGGATCCTCACTCATCATCAGAACTGTTGAACACTCTCCAGCTGTTTCCCAGCTCGCTTGATGAGGCCGCTGCTGACCCATCCGGCTTCAGATTGTCATCTGAGCCATCTCCATTAAAGTTCCCTGCAAGACAACACAAGTCGTTCCATTACTGTATTTTCAAGATAGATAGTTTACATGCAAAACATCACTTTTTAATGGAATGCCTATTAACGATTGTATTTTAGTTGGAATGTATGGCTGATAATGCTCTATGGTTGACAATGAAGCCCGCTGTGTTTGGCAATTAATACGTGCAAAATGGACAGATAGCTGACATTTTTTTCTCTTATGGAATTGCTCCCTCACTGTTCAAATAAACCTACCATTAAAATTATAGACTGATAATTTCTTTGTAAGTGGGCAAATGTACAAAATCAGCAGAGGCTCAAATACTTTTTTTCCCTCACTGTACATGCATTCGTCCATTCGCCTGGCTCATAAAAGGCCCTGTTCATACTCTCCTTACTGTAACTCCCGTGTCAACAAAAATTACCTTTACATTTTTTTATATTCTACATTGTCCAGTCAGCTGCTAATTGTGTTATTCTCCCAGGAGATCAACTCACCGCAGATGCCGCACAGTTGCCCCGCGTATTCTCCAGGCACGACTATCTCCACATGGTGGTTCCCATCAAACCGAACAACCAGATTGAAATCGGTCTCGAGCACAACGTAGGATCCACTCAGTTGGATGTACACCCCGGACATGAAGAATGGTGGAGTCACACGCAGCCCATCCACCTGTAAACAAAACACAGAGCAATTTATGTAGAGACCTCGCAGGAGGATCAATAATGCACAGTGCATTATCGTAAACTAAATATCTTTTTTGAATAATTAGGAATATTTTATCCACTATTCTTAGTAAACATCGACATATATCCATCGAGATATTATGGCAAAAACATCACTTGAATATTCACGTATTTTACGTCTTTCTTTAGAAGGTCAATTCCTAACTCCCCAATAAAATTTCCAAACATCAAGTTATACATATATATTATATTATTCACACACAAGTGAGAAAAATGAGACGACACGCCACGCTGCGTACATCATTTCAACAATACAAGATACAAACATATAGGGGGAAAAAGCGAAGGTAGCATCTTTCAAGCATCAGGTGACACCGTGGACATTGTTAAATGCGGAGTAAAACTTGTTTACAATGGAAGTCGCTTTAGGACAATACAATGAATAAATCACGATGACGAGCAATATGGTTATTGAGATATCACTGCATGAGAGAGTGTTGTGCCTTGTGGTGATGGCTCCTGGATGGCACGCACCGGCTCTGTGCAAGTAACAATTAAAGGATGAACTGAAACCCTCACCAGCACCCGGCGTCCTTTGGCCAAGGTGAACCTGTGGCCGTAGACATCCACGTGGACCTCCTTGACGTAAGACACGGCCGTGCTGCCGCCCCGGAACTCATTTGTTGTCTCCACGTTGAAGTGGGGCGGCAGGGTGGAGCTCTGGTTGCATGGGATGGCTGCCGTGTAGGTGCACTCGCCCATGAAGTGGTGCGTCGTCTTGTCGAACGTGATGTAGTGAGGGTCTCCAGTGATCACGCAGTCGCCAGGTGCTGAATAAAGAGAAAAGGATTGTTTTCGACTTAACCGGAAATTATTTTTGAGACATTTTTGCCTTTGGCATGTAAATATGAAGCTTTGAAAAAAGTATGCACCTGTGAATATCCATGTATTTTTATAATCAGAGTTAAAGTGTATAACTTCTTAAACGAGTGGGTGGTGCTCATGGCCATTTAACGCTTGGAAGTCAGCTTCATATTGTACATACACAATACAGGAAATAATTTACAAGACATTTTGTCAATCCATTCATGAATGAAAGTCTCCCCACATCATGTCAATCATGCGGAGTTTTTTTTTTAATTAAACTTAACTAAGCTGGTCACTGGGTGTTGGTGAAGTGTGGGCCCAGGATTGGTTCAAATATGAGTTGCCATTGAAGTTAGTCATGGTCAGGAATTTAACTAAGGTCACTGGGTCCAAATTTAAATGTGATAGTCACTGCACCATGTCATCCCCTTGCAGTGTGTGGGATGTGTTAGCGTAGTGTTTGATGTGTTAGTGTAGTGCGATGTATTTAGTTAACATGCTCATGATGCAACTTTCTTACGTTTTGGCGGGGTTGTTGGTGGCACTGTTGGCCCTGTTTCGACGCCAATGAAAAAAAGAACATATTAGTACCAAGTGCATCTGACAAAACAAAATTAGATTTTATAAAGTGTGTGTCTGCCTGCTCCAATGCTGCTAAAGGACAAAAACTATTTCTAAAAGGAAGAATCTCAGAGGTCACGTGGAGGTTCTAGGGCAGAGTGTTGCAGATCTGACGACCAAGGACCGAACAAGCCCGCGCTCTAAAGATTTGTTGATGACAACGTGGCCTACAGAGAGACACGGTGTGAAACATGAATATGAAGGGCGCAACTACGATGGAACTTTTGAAAAAAGCAGAATCCACAAACTGCAGTGAGTGGTTCACCTGAGCCATGGCAGCCCAGGATGCCGTCCTCCACACCGCAGGTCTCGTCGTCCTCACAGACCCAGGCCTCACAGTTCACATTGCCAGGATTGACACAGATGCAGCGCTGGCTGCAGTCCTGTGACTCAAACCAGCTCTCCCCGATCTGAGACACACAACACGCACGCGTTACCTCCATTGCACTCTCTAATGCAGACCACACTGTCACAAAGGTCTCGTGGAGCAGTGCGATGAAGAGTGGTGAAACAATCTCCATGCTTGACACGGTGATTTACACAGCATGGAGATGCCTTCATTACAAAAAAATATATTTTAATACATATATATTTTGTATAATTCGGATTAGAGCCATATACCTGAACCCATTGCCTGTTTACAGTCAGTTAAATGGGTTGATTTAAGATTTCAGGAATTTGCAACAAAAAGATACCTGTACTCATCAATGCTTGGGAACGAGGAGAAATGGTGAAACAATACGTTTGTTATGGCGTATTAAAATTTACAAATAAAAGCTGTAATAAAAAGACGTTAAATGAGATTAAATACAGATGACAAATAAAAAATGCAAACATCTCATATTGGTTCTTCGTTGCTGTGTGTGCCACTGTCCCAAATGAATTTGAGATCTCAGTAATAAGTAAGATTCTCACTTACATTTTCAGTCAGGAATATTACTGGGCTGTCACTTCAGTGATGCTGTATTATTAAATATGGGAGTGACGGTGCAGTGGCATCACCAGAACACTTATAACTTTAAAAAAAAATTCATCATTAAGGACACTTCAACTTGTTGGGCAGTACAGAAGACAGGAATATAATAGGAATCTACATGCGCAGAACTGTTTCTTTTTGTTTGTAATTTTGCATAGCTCACCGGATGGTAATGGCCATTGTTATCCAGGCAACCGCACTGATCTGTAGGGACACACTTGTCCCCAGAGAGGACAAAGCCGTCGTCACAGACACAGCCCTCTGCACATTGCTGGTTGCAGCCAGCTGGGGGATTTGCGTTGCTGCAGGTGGCCGGGCACGGTGGGGCACAGCTCTCATAGTGGCTGCCCGGTTCACACGGGAATGCTGTGGGTGCCACACACAACAATAATCTTGAATAATCTTAGATTTCCAATGGTGCTTAAATACTTCAGAAACTCAAAAACCTTTAGTCACATGTTATCTCAAACATTTAAAGGCGGTTTTACACGTAGGCTTTTGTGATCAATATCATCCTTAATACAGATTTCTTTTTGGGTTAGATCGCGTAAATATTCAAAGGCGGCTGGATATTAGCAGCTGACTCTGGGCAGCACAAGGTGACTGAGCACCAGCTTGTCATCGGAATTAATCTGCCAGTAAGAGCAATGTTGTTATTTGTAATCCAGATCGAGTAATTGGCAGACGATTTTGCACATTTAGCAAATTTCAATAACACCATCACACAAAAGCCTACTTTGTTTAAAATGTCAGGGAATCTGTAGCGTCCAATGTAAAGCAGATGGTGAGTATTTATGGATAATACACCCGCACTATTAACAATGCGTCTGCCATGCAGTGGAAAACCCTAGATAGGTTTGAATTTGACTTATCATATTCAAATTGCATGGTGTATCTGGCCTCTATAGATTAGCAGATTTACCATCACATGACCATCAAATCACAATCAAATTTCATGGCTGGGCAATCAGTGTGGCGGTCACATCACATCGGCTGGTGCACTCACGGCAGAAGGTGTTGTTCCTCCACGTTACGATGACCCCAGCTTGGGCGCACTGGTCGGCGTAGGCCTGCAGGGCTTGGCACAACGAGCCGTGGTCCCCACCCGTGGCACACAGGTCGAACACGCAGTTGTCGAAGAAGATTTGTGGAGGCAGCACCGCGTGGCACTCTTTGAAAGCTCCTGATCGAAGCGAGAAATACGATGTCAATCTTAGCGGCATCGACACATCACTCCTCTTGATGCAGCAGCGGTGAAATGGTTTGTGCACTGTGCTCCCATTAATAGCAAAACAACTTTGAACGCTAATTATCTGTAGTAACAATTTCATCATGGATCGCGAAAGAGTTTTGAAAAAATAATACGTGTAATAAAAATTTTGTAGCCTCCATACTTTTTAAAGTGACAATAATAATTAAAAAAATGTATGCCAACTAGAATTGAATGCCCATCACACAGGTAAACTTGTTGTGGGTATAGCTCCATGGAGTGGAAATGCCACAATGTCTGCAATCTAAGGAAGTCCATTCTCATGCACAGTTATGAGTTAACAGCTGAACGTAACGGAGAGCAATACCCACCCTCAGGGTCAGTGATTATTCCACAGAACGTATCCGATTCATACAGGTTCTTGTCATTCTCATCACATGGAGGTATTTCCCCGGTATCATCTTGGCAACTGTCAACAAACACACGCGCAGGTTAACCTCACCGAGGTTGAAAGAGAAAATATCACTTGAAACATAATCACAGTCGTCATTACCATCATCATCATGAAGACAACTCACTGTAGCCCAAACAGCTGACACAAATACAGCATCAGTGGCACAACAGTCAGATCTAATTTAAGCATGGGGCCCATGTTTGGCACTTCTTGTCTATCTCGAGCTCGAATGGCTGTCAATACCAATGCCTTCCATGTGTATTATCCAGAGGCTTTTGCAATGGCACTGTTGTAATTATCAGACGTGCATGGAAATAGTTGAGAAGAATGGATCCTCACTCATCATCAGAACTGTTGAACACTCTCCAGCTGTTTCCCAGCTCGCTTGATGAGGCCGCTGCTGACCCATCCGGCTTCAGATTGTCATCTGAGCCATCTCCATTAAAGTTCCCTGTAAGACAACACAAGTCGTTCCATTACTGTATTTTCAAGCTAGATAGTTTACATGCAAAACATCACTTTTCAATGGAATGCCCATTAACGATTGTATTTTAGTTGGAATGTATGGCTGATAATGCTCTATGGTTGACAATGAAGCCCGCTGTGTTTGGCAATTAATACGTGCAAAATGGAGAGGTAGCTGACATTTTTTTCTCTTATGGAATTGCTCCCTCACTGTTCAAATAAACCTACCATTAAAATTATAGACTGATCATTTCTTTGTCAGTGGGCAAAAGTACAAAATCAGCAGAGGCTCAAATACTTTTTTTCCCTCACTGTACATGCATTCGTCCATTCGCCTGGCTCATAAAAGGCCCTGTTCATACTCTCCTTACTGTAACTCCCGTGTCAACAAAAATTACCTTTACATTTTTTTATATTCTACATTGTCCAGTCAGCTGCTTATTGTGTTATTCTCCCAGGAGATCAACTCACCGCAGATGCCGCACAGTTGCCCCGCGTATTCTCCAGGCACGACTATCTCCACATGGTGGTTCCCATCAAACCGAACAACCAGATTGAAATCGGTCTCGAGCACAACGTAGGATCCACTCAGTTGGATGTACACCCCGGACATGAAGAATGGTGGAGTCACACGCAGCCCATCCACCTGTAAACAAAACACAGAGCAATTTATGTAGAGACCTCGCAGGAGGATCAATAATGCACAGTGCATTATCGTAAACTAAATATCTTTTTTGAATAATTAGGAATATTTTATCCACTATTCTTAGTAAACATCGACATATATCCATCGAGATATTATGGCAAAAACATCACTTGAATATTCACGTATTTTACGTCTTTCTTTAGAAGGTCAATTCCTAACTCCCCAATAAAATTTCCAAACATCAAGTTATACATATATATTATATTATTCACACACAAGTGAGAAAAATGAGACGACACGCCACGCTGCGTACATCATTTCAACAATACAAGATACAAACATATAGGGGGAAAAAGCGAAGGTAGCATCTTTCAAGCATCAGGTGACACCGTGGACATTGTTAAATGCGGAGTAAAACTTGTTTACAATGGAAGTCGCTTTAGGACAATACAATGAATAAATCACGATGACGAGCAATATGGTTATTGAGATATCACTGCATGAGAGAGTGTTGTGCCTTGTGGTGATGGCTCCTGGATGGCACGCACCGGCTCTGTGCAAGTAACAATTAAAGGATGAACTGAAACCCTCACCAGCACCCGGCGTCCTTTGGCCAAGGTGAACCTGTGGCCGTAGACATCCACGTGGACCTCCTTGACGTAAGACACGGCCGTGCTGCCGCCCCGGAACTCATTTGTTGTCTCCACGTTGAAGTGGGGCAGCAGGGTGGAGCTCTGGTTGCACGGAATGGCTGCCGTGTAGGTGCACTCGCCCATGAAGTGGTGCGTCGTCTTGTCGAAAGTTATGTAGTGAGGGTCTCCAGTGATCACGCAGTCGCCAGGTGCTGAATAAAGAGAAAAGGATTGTTTTCGACTTAACCGGAAATTATTTTTGAGACATTTTTGCCTTTGGCATGTAAATATGAAGCTTTGAAAAAAGTATGCACCTGTGAATATCCATGTATATTTATAATCAGAGTTAAAGTGTATAACTTCTTAAACGAGTGGGTGGTGCTCATCGCCATTTAACGCTTCGAAGTCAGCTTCATATTGTAAATCCACAATACAGGAAATAATTTACAAGACATTTTGTCAATCCATTCATGAATGAAAGTCTCCCCACACCATGTCGATCATGCGGAGTTTTTTTTTATTAAACTTAACTACGCTGGTCACTGGGTGTTGGTGAAGTGTGGGCCCAGGATTGGTTCAAATATGAGTTGCCATTGAAGTTAGTCATGGGCAGGAATTTAACTAAGGTCACTGGGTCCAAATTTAAATGTGATAGTCACTGCACCATGTCATCCCCTTGCAGTGTGTGGGATGTGTTAGCGTAGTGTTTTATGTGTTAGTGTAGTGCGTTGTATTTAGTTAACATGCTCATGATGCAACTTTCTTACGTTTTGGCGGGGTTGTTGGTGGCACTGTTGGCCCTGTTTCGACGCCAATGAAAAAAAGAACATATTAGTACCAAGTGCATCTGACAAAACAAAATTAGATTTTATAAAGTGTGTGTCTGCCTGCTCCAATGCTGCTAAAGGACAAAAACTATTTCTAAAAGGAAGAATCTCAGAGGTCACGTGGAGGTTCTAGGGCAAAGTGTTGCAGATCTGACGACCAAGGACCGAACAAGCCCGCGCTCTAAAGATTTGTTGATGACAACGTGGCCTACAGAGAGACACGGTGTGAAATATGAATATGAAGGGCGCAACTACGATGGAACTTTTGAAAAAAGCAGAATCCACAAACTGCAGTGAGTGGTTCACCTGAGCCATGGCAGCCCAGGATGCCGTCTTCCACACCGCAGGTCTCGTCGTCCTCACAGACCCAGGCCTCACAGTTCACATTGCCAGGATTGACACAGATGCAGCGCTGGCTGCAGTCCTGTGACTCAAACCAGCTCTCCCCGATCTGAGACACGCAACACGCACGCGTTACCTCCATTGCACTCTCTAATGCAGACCACACTGTCACAAAGCTCTCGTGGAGCAGTGCGATGAAGAGTGGTGAAACAATCTCCATGCTTGACACGGTGATTTACACAGCATGGAGATGCCTTCATTACAAAAAAATATATTTTAATACATATATATTTTGTATAATTCGGATTAGAGCCATATACCTGAACCCATTGCCTGTTTACAGTCAGTTAAATGGGTTGATTTAAGATTTCAGGAATTTGCAACAAAAAGATACCTGTACTCATCAATGCTTGGGAACGAGGAGAAATGGTGAAACAATACGTTTGTTATGGCGTATTAAAATTTACAAATAAAAGCCGTAATAAAAAGACGTTAAATAAGATTAAATACAGATGACAAATAAAAAATGCAAACATCTCATATTGGTTCTTCGTTGCTGTGTGTGCCACTGTCCCAAATGAATTTGAGATCTCAGTAATAAGTAAGATTCTCACTTACATTTTCAGTCAGGAATATTACTGGGCCGTCACTTCATTGATGCTGTATTATTAAATATGGGAGTGACGGTGCAGTGGCATCACCAGAACACTTATAACTTAAAAAAAAAATTCATCATTAAGGACACTTCAACTTGTTGGGCAGTACAGAACACAGGAATATAATAGGAATCTACATGCGCAGAACTGTTGTTTTTTGTTTGTAATTTTGCTTAGCTCACCGGATGGTAATGGCCATTGTTATCCAGGCAACCGCACTGATCTGTAGGGACACACTTGTCCCCAGAGAGGACAAAGCCGTCGTCACAGACACAGCCCTCTGCACATTGCTGGTTGCAGCCAGCTGGGGGATTTGCGTTGCTGCAGGTGGCCGGGCACGGTGGGGCACAGCTCTCATAGTGGCTGCCCGGTTCACACGGGAATGCTGTGGGTGTCACACACAACAATAATCTTGAATAATCTTTGATTTCCAATGGTGCGTAAATACTTCAGAAACTCAAAACACCTTCAGTTACATGTTATCTCAAACATTTGGAGGGGACCGGATATTGGCAGCTGTCTCTGTGCAGCACAAAGTGACTGAGCACCAGCCAATCATGGGAATTAGTCTCCCAATAAGGGGCAATGTTGTTATGTGTAATCCAGATTGAGTATTTGGCAGCTAATTTTACAAAGTTGCCAAGTTTGGACCACGACATCAGCACACAACGGCCTACTCTGTTTAATGTCAGATAATCTGTAGCATTCAATGTAAAGTGAACCGTGTATGGTTAATACACCCGCACTATTAACAATGCGTCTAATGCAATGGACAGCCATAGTTAGGATTGCATTTCACTTATATTAAAACTGAATCGTTTATTTAGGCCACCATAGAGTAGCATACTTACAATGACATGTCCATCAAATTACATCACAATCAAATTTCATGGCTGGGCAATCAGTGTGGCGGTGACATCACAGCAGGCGGTGCACTCACGGCAGAAGGTGTTGTTCCTCCACGTGACGATGACCCCAGCTTGGGCGCACTGGTCAGCGTAGGCCTGCAGGGCCTGGCACAGCGAGTCGTGGTCCCCACCCGTGGCACACAGGTCGAACACGCAGTTGTCGAAGAAGACTTGTGGAGGCAGCACCGCGTGGCACTCTTTGAAAGCTCCTGATGGAAGCGAGAAATACGATCTCAGTGTTAGCGGTATTGGCACATCACTCCTCTTTAACACAAGTTGCTTTTACGAATAACGAACTATTACCGTATTCTTTGGTTCTTTCAGTAAAGTGGCGTAGGTAGAAAAAATAATAGATCACAACGTTTCGATCGCAACAACAAGCTCACATGTCCTTTGGATTGCACTCTCATGCTCACATGTCCTTTGGATTGCACTCTCATGCTCACATGTCCTTTGGATTGCACTCTCATGCTCACATGTCCTTTGGATTGCACTCTCATGCTCACATGCCCTTTGGATTGCACTCTCATGCTCACATGTCCTTTGGATTGCACTCTCATGCTCACATGTCCTTTGGATTGCACTCTCATGCTCACATGTCCTTTGGATTGCACTCTCATGCTCACATGTCCTTTGGATTGCACTCTCATGCTCACATGTCCTTTGGATTGCACTCTCATGCTCACAGGCCTTTTGGATTGCACTCTCATGCTCACATGTCCTTTGGATTGCACTCTCATGCTCACATGTCCTTTGGATTGCACTCTCATGCTCACATGCCCTTTGGATTGCACTCTCATGCTCACATGCCCTTTGGATTGCACTCTCATGCTCACATGTCCTTTGGATTGCACTCTCATGCTCACATGTCCTTTGGATTGCACTCTCATGCATATCCTTTGGATTGCACTCTCATGCTCACATGTCCTTTGGATTGCACTCTCATGCTCACATGCCCTTTGGATTGCACTCTCATGCTCACATGTCCTTTGGATTGCACTCTCATGCTCACATGTCCTTTGGATTGCACTTTCATGCTCACAGGCCTTTTGGATTGCACTCTCATGCTCACATGTCCTTTGGATTGCACTCTCATGCTCACATGTCCTTTGGATTGCACTCTCATGCTCACATGCCCTTTGGATTGCACTCTCATGCTCACATGCCCTTTGGATTGCACTCTCATGGTCACATGTCCTTTGGATTGCACTCTCATGCTCACATGTCCTTTGGATTGCACTCTCATGCACACATGTCCTTTGGATTACACTCTCATGCACACATTCCCTACAGTCCATCTCTCACAATCGCTGGCCCCACCCTCTTTCCCAATGCGCCAACCCCCACTCCCTCCCCCCCCCTCGGGTCAATATAATGCCTCGTCCACAGCAGCCCGATTCTCTCACCTGAAGACGGTCGCTTGTTGCGATCGAAACGTCGTGATCTATTATTTTTTATACCTACGTGACTTTACCGAAATAACCAAAGAGTATAGATTCCTGCAGTCACGAAAGCTTCAAATCAAGATTATTACCGTATTCCATTATTTGATGAAGCAGCGGTGCAATGGTTTGTGCACTGTGCAATACTTACCCTCAGGGTCAGTGATTATTCCACAGAACGTATCCGATTCATACAGGTTCTTGTCATTCTCATCACATGGAGGTATTTCCCCGGTATCATCTTGGCAACTGTCAACAAACACACGCGCAGGTTAACCTCACCAAGTTTGAAAGGGAAAACATCACTTAGAACATAATCAGTCGTCAATACCATCATCATCATGAAGATAACTCACTGTAGCCCAAACAGCTGACACAAATACAGCATCAGTGGCACAACAGTCAGATCTAATGTAAGCATGGGGCCCATGTTTGGCACTTCTTGTCTATCTCGAGCTCGAATGGCTGTCAATACCAATGCCTTCCATGTGTATTACCCAGAAGTTTTTTGCAATGGCACTATTATAATTAGTGGGCATGCATGGAGATAATTGAGAAGAACGGATCCTCACTCATCATCAGAACTGTTGAACACTCTCCAGCTGTTTCCCAGCTCGCTTGATGAGGCTGCTGCTGACCCATCCGGCTTCAGATTGTCATCTGAGCCATCTCCATTAAAGTTCCCTGTAAAACAACACAAATCGTTCCATTAGTAGTTGCAATTCAGATGGTTTATGTGAAAAACGGCACTTGCTCGATGAAATGCCTATTTAACTTTTCCATTTTTGTTAGAATTCGTGGCTGATAATGCTCAATGGTCCTTGCTGCAGCTCATCCATGGCTGATATCTTTGCATATTCTGTCAACTGCAATCACATTAAGATTTTATGAATTCTACAGTGTTAAGTCATTTGCTTATTGTGTCACTTCTCTCAGCAGATCAACTCACCGCAGATGCCGCACAGTTCCCCCGTGTATTCTCCAGGCACGACTATCTCCACATGGTGGTTCCCATCAAACCGAACAACCAGATTGAAATCGGTCTCGAGCACAACGTAGGATCCACTCAGTTGGATGTACACCCCCGAAATGAAGAACGGAGGAGTCAAACGCAGCCCATCCACCTGCACAACAGAGGTGACACAATTGACACAGTCGAGATGATATTCTACCGCAATTACATTTAAATGCGTGACGTGAGGACATAGGACACGTCGTCACCGCATCATCTGCAAGCGTCACGTTCATTGTGTGTGTGACGTCACAGCCTTGGGTTTTACAGTGCAGCAACAAACTGGCACCTGCTGAGTGGGACCGGCGAGCTTGGTGGGACTCGGTCCTGCAATGAAGAAACAAGAGGTACTGTGCAAGCGCAGAGCTCACCAGCACCCGGCGCCCTTGGCCCAAGGTGATTCTGTGGCCGTAGACCTCCACGTGGACCTCTTTGACGTAAGACACGGCCGTGTTGCCGCCACGGTGCTCGTTTGTCGTCTCCACGTTGAAGTGGGGCAGGTTGGAGCTCTGGTTGCACGGGATGGATGCGGTGTAGGTGCACGTGCCCATGAAGTCGTGGGCGACCCCGTCAAATGTCCAGTAATGAGGGTCTCCACAAATGCTGCAGTGTCCTGGTTCTGAAAGTTACGAACATCATTGCATAATACAAGTGACGGTGGTAAATGTTACCAGCACGTACATATATGCTGGGAATTGGCAGCAGGCTTTGCTGGCTTTCCATCAGCTTTAATATCACACTTTTCCCAAAAGTATATTAACATGTAATTGATTACAATATGACACCAATTTGGATTCAGCACCTTTAAAAGCTCTAGATAAGACTTCCATGAGAAAAAATAAATAGTTAAATATAGCGACTTGACACTGGAAACCAGTACAGCACAAAGCCTCAAACCGATGAGGCGTTTAGGTTCTCCCTGACGAACCGCACACTCCACTGCAAATTCTCACTTGGAGGTGGTGGCGTAGGTGGTGGCGTTGGTGCCGGCGTTGTTGGAGCTTCAGTTCATGAAATAAAGACAATGGGACGGTACTCGTCAACCGACGCACCCAACATTTATTCATAAGAGCACTCTTTTATCTGCTGTGTTATGTACAGTGTTTCATCAATATTAATGCTGCAATGATGAAACATAATGTAATAAGAGTCCACTTTTAACGCGCTCAAATTTCACGACCGTGCATTAAAAGTTCGAGCGCGACTCAGGAAGCTTGGAGCTTCGCTCGGAGTTCCCCAGAAAGCTCAAGAAGCTCGCCAAAAATGTGTGTCTACGGGTGCTTAGTGAAGGTGGAAGGAGACTGGATGCTGCTGCGTATGTGAAGAGGGGTAGAGTTACAGATGGAGGGAACTGTTGTAGAGTGAGCAGTGACGCTCGGTCTGACAGGAGGCCATGCAAAGAGCACGGTGACAGAGGACCGCAACCTTTTGCTTGAATCGTGTGGAGCGAGCACGGTGATTTTTAGCAAAGCAGAAAAATCTGTGCCACCATGCCCGATGCCGAGGGCAGGGCACGGCAGATCGTTTCGTAGTATTTGTAATTTGTTGATGCTCTTGGCGGATGCCCAAGTAAGTAGAGGGCATTGCAGCAATTGTGATGGGAACCTATGATACAGCAGGCGAGGGTGTTATCTGCGGCAATTGAGGGCATGGGACGGATGTGCCGAAGAGCTGTGAGATGGCAATTGCATGCTTTGGTTACGTCGTGCACAGTATGCAGTTGTAGTAAACTGCCAAGGCCACTTTAAGCAAGGCCATTTGGAGAGCACACCATAAGAGCCTTTTGTCAATCGTGAGTCTGCAGTGCCATGGTAGAACTAATACCACTGTGTGAGCAAACACATCTCCACTACAAGGCATAGGCATGCTCATTCACAGGGAAATTGCCAGTTTATAATGGTATGAGTAGCCTCTGAAAATTTAACAATTTAACTTTAGACAACCACACAAGATATGGCTGAAATTGGGGTTTTCGGAGTAGAGTGACATCTTTTGCATCGTGATAAATCTATGTATGTTGAACTTTTCCACCGTATGTCGCCAACCATGCTAATTAGAGGTGCGGGGGAAATGCCGGTGAAACATTCTCTCGCGTTTGTAGAGGTGGTCCGTGTGTGCATCGATGACCAAACGAGTGCAGAAACAAATACAAGGCACACGTTTAGATAGGAAATCATTTTTCTACATTACCAACAGTGATGTACCAAAAGATGAGGCATCACAAATACAGCTACAAATATGTATCTAGAGACACGCAACCAATGTGTCCTGTGCTGTAATCCTGGAATTTAATCTAGAATGCACATGTCAATTAGGACGGTTTTATATGAATACTGCCACTACGACAACCTCATATTTACCTGAAGGCTCACAGACTGAGATGCAGACGCTGTCCACAGCAATATCGCTCTCAGGTGTCTCTCCACGCACTCCTTCGATGGCAAACTGCACAAAGATACAAAGCAATGTCACGTATTATTAGTGCACGTCTGACGTGAGCATTTTAATGATCGTGTTGTTTGTTGGAGTGGGACCACTCGCATATATGCGACGCTTTGGTAGGAACATCAAGGGACCAGTGCCGGGCGATTCCCACTGCGACTGGTCCCAATCGCGATGCGGCTCTTTGATGGAATACGATGCCCAATGGGATCATCAATTGCATTGCGAAATTATGGTATTTCCTAGGCTTCTAACAATTGCCCACAGTAACTATACGAATATTTACAATTTTTGGTCGCGCTTTGATTACAATAATGAATGACTCTATATATATACACACATTAGCATATCGGTTATACAAATATAATTTATATTTTCTGTGGGGAATATCCAGAGCATGGAATCTGGTGGTGATTCTCTGAACAACTGCTAGGCTGTCAAAGAGTTCCCATTCAACTCCACGGCAATTGTCCTGTCTCCATTCGAATAGCCCAAGAATCACCTCCTTCATTTAAAGTAGAAGCAGGAATCAGCAATTTAATTAATGGGGATTCTCGAACTGTGCAGCCCAGGAAGTGTCCACAGAATTCCAATTCATATGATTGGAACTCGCAGGAACACAAACGCATATTTAATGCACGAACCAAGGTAATATAATTTTTAAATATATGAAGTGGGTTAATACCCATGGACTAAAAAACATCTAAGTTGCATCATGATTTGTTTAATCAACTGATACGATTGGCACTTAGTTGAGATGTATGACACGAGATCTCTTGAAATGCACACAACTCATTAATAACGCAACATTCTTTTCAAAAGTGTTCAGTTTCATGAAATGTAAACATAAAGAAATAATAAAACGGTCGTGCATCATTTGTATGTATGCATGTTGAACTACGTATCCAACTGTGCTAATCGGAGGTGCAGGGGAAGGACAACAAACTAAACACAAAAAACAGAAACCATTTACACGGTTTATGAAAGTGTAAACACTTTAAATTAATTGCACAATTTTTTAAGTAATCAGGGGTTTGCACAACGTTTGATTTAATTCAGCTGTATTCAACCCAAAGTGTTCAACCCCAGCCCACGCTTGATTTGAATAAAGGGTAGTGGAGTGTTCAAATGAATAGCCATGCACACAATGGGGAATCGTAAACAATTAAAAATGCATTCTAATTGTTGAGACGCTCCCCCCCACCTCGTTAATTGGTATTAAAAATCTGCACCTCACCAAATACAACTGCACACCTTTCAAATCTAAGCCACACACACATATATAATCGGCAGTGATTCAAATACAGTAGACACACATACAGAACTACACTGCATGTAAGGGATTCTCTTACTTGAACATTTCCGGACTCAGGGAACATGACTCGAGCTAAAATCCACTGTTCTCCCTGGTTTCCCTGAACAGTCCACACGGGTTGTCCATTGACGGCTGCGGTCAGTGTGGGTGATACAGAAGGTTTGTTACACGGCTGGAAGCGGAGCATAGGGGTGTGCAACTGACACACAAATACACAAAGTTACATGGAGATAAAACCATCATCCCCATTAAAACCACCGTCTCCATTAAAAACATCATCCCAATTAAAAACATCATCCCAATTAAAAACATCATCCCAATTAAAACCATCTCCATTAATACCATCTTCCCCATTAAAACCATCATCCCCATTAAAATCATCATCTCAATTAAAACCATCATCCCCATTCAAACCATCATCACCATTCAAACTATTGTCTTTTAAAAAAAAACATCCTTAAGAAAAACCATCATAGTAATGGAAAAAAGGTGTGAAAATGCACCACCATACTCATGTATACATTCCCAGATTCGCATTGGCTGACATGTACACTGAAGTGTTCAAGACAGCGGTGTGATATCGTCTGTGCATACATATGTACTTGCAGTAGTGTGTAGAGCAACATTTAATATTTACAATACGAATGATAATTGTATCTAAAGACTTATACATTATATTAGATACTACCGTTTCATCTGGACACAACGCCTACTAAATCTTGGCTTTAAAGCAACCCTTAGTTGGCAATATGGCCTTTCATCCAAATTGAAATGAAAACAAGTGCATATCTTCAATTACATCATGACAGATTAACTACTAGCAAAGCCTGACAGCTGTAATGGAGATAACAGCCTCTGTACCTTTGTTGATGTAAACGTTGATGGCCATGGTCTCTGCTGACCCATACAGGAAGTAGTGGAAGCTCAGGACGAGGCACCCAGAGGAGCGGAGAGCCGGACTCTCCAGCAGCAGCGCCGTTCCAGGGTTGTTGTACTCAGAGTCCAGCAGCAGGTAATTCCCAACTACACACAGCACAGTTAACATAGTTGTCCACACACACACACTGCTGTATTCACTATCACAGTGATCCACACACACACACTGTTGTATTCACTAACACAGTGATCCACACACACACTGCTGTATTCACTAACACAGTGATCCACACACACACTGCTGTATTCACTAACACAGTGATACACACACACACTGCTGTATTCACTAACACAGTGATCCACACACACACTGCTGTATTCACTAACACAGTGATCCACACACACACTACTGTATTCACTATCACAGTGATCCACACACACACTGCTGTATTCACTAACACAGTGATCCACACACACACTGCTGTATTTTCTAACACAGTGATCCACACACACTACTGTATTCACTAACACAGTGATCCACACACTGCTGTATTCACTAACACAGTGATCCACACACACTACTGTATTCACTAACACAGTGATCCACACACTGCTGTGTTCACTAACACAGTGATCCACACACACTACTGTATTCACTAACACAGTGATCCACACACTGCTGTATTCACTAACACAGTGATCCACACACACTACTGTATTCACTAACACAGTGATCCACACACTGCTGTATTCACTAACACAGTGATCCACACACACTACTGTATTCACTAACACAGTGATCCACACACTGCTGTGTTCACTAACACAGTGATCCACACACACTACTGTATTCACTAACACAGTGATCCACACACTGCTGTATTCACTAACACAGTGATCCACACACTCTGCTCGTATTCATTAACACAGTAATCCACACACTGCTGTATTCACTAACACAGTGATCCACACACACACTACTGTATTCACTATCACAGTGATCCACACACACACTGCTGTATTCACTAACACAGTGATCCACACACACACACTGCTGTATTCACTAACACAGTGATCCACACACACTACTGTATTCACTATCACAGTGATCCACACACTGCTGTATTCACTAACACAGTGATCCACACACACTACTGTATTCACTAACACAGTGATCCACATACTGCTGTATTCACTAACACAGTGATCCACACACACACTGCTGTATTCACTAACACAGTGATCCACACACTACTGTATTCACTAACACAGTGATCCACACACTGCTGTATTCACTAGCACAGTGATCGAGACACTGCTGTATTCACTAACACAGTGATCGAGACACATTATACTGAGTGTGGGTTTCAAGGCCAGGAGCTCCAGTGGAGGCTGTGAGTGATGCGAGGCTGTAAGATACTCACAGCCAGGCCGAGAGAAGTCATCGTCAGGGCCAGTGTTCTCAGTGTTTGTGGGACCGTTCCATTGCTCCCAGCCCATGTCCCCTCCGCTGTTCTCCCAGCCACAGAAGTCCCCTATTTCATCAAAATCGCATCCCCTCACACACTCTGTGGGGTGAAAACATGAATACACAAATTTTAATACGTGGGTAAATTACTGCGCATTTAAATTACACACAAGATACAAGCAGAATATATTTTCTGCATTTCATGGTGAGTCGTAAGTTAGTAACTTATCAATGCATGGCTATAGTGCAGAATTTATATGCCACTGGAATTTAATATCATTCAGTCACAGCTCTGTTGGGCCAGAAAATTGTTGTAGTGCCACTTCTAGGGTGCGATTCATGAACTGGGCAGAGTTTCCAGCAGCGCACAGTTCTTCCTTCAGTGCAATGGAGTATAAATCTGAGCCTGCTCAGTGTTTGCTAACCAGCCACAGTTTAGGGGAGGAGCAAGAGGAATCCGCCACAGCATCATGACATGCGATGGTACAATCTCCACTCAGCCACCAAATCGGGATCCAACACGCACTGCGTTGTTAATCCCGCTACTTGAGCTCGATTCACGACAAACATCAGTGACGAATGTCTGAACCAGTTAGAGCTTCTCTAAATCCACTGCTGGATCAGAGCCTTCCCACACCGCGTGGGTTGTGAGGGATTTTTCTTTACCATACTTCGCCACCCAGGTCAGCGTGGATTGAAGGTTGCCATAGGGCCCGATAGCCCTATTGCAACCTGTCTGTGCGTGGGAGTCACCCATCCAAGCGCCATCCAGGCTCAAGCCTGCTTAGCAGGCGAGGTTTGATGAGCTCGGAAGCTTTCTGGGTGTTTTGGTCGCTTACCCACAACCTAAATTTACGGCTCAAACGACCAATCAGTCGCACTAATTTATCACGTAGGCTTTCGCGACCAATATCATCCATAATAGAGGTTTTACGCGATCTAACCCAAAGAAATCTCTATGACGCACTAATTTATGTTTGTGGTCCTGAACCTGAAATTCCACTTTCCTCTGGCAGGGACCAGTTGTTCCATAGGACAATCACTGGGGACTCCTCACCAAGTAGGGGTCCTACAGCAGTACTCTAGAGGGATGATGGAGATGGCGTACTGTACTTTCTGATTGGGATTTTAACTCCCAATCTGACAATGAGACCCTCAACTGAACCTAAAATCTATTTCATGGTGTGAATGTTTAATAATTAATGAATGTCTAATGATAAGACAGAATTCATTTAATCTTACCAAAACAATTTCCGTCAGCTACAGAAATGTCATCCAGGCCTATATCACTCAATTTTGTTGCTCCTTGAATTCCCTCCAGGATAGCCTGCAGATGGAGGAGATATTGAGTCAGACACAGGCGACCTTTGCATAACGCGTGACATGCGTTCCTGAAAAACAACGCGTAAGTCGAATCGCGCTGTATGAAGACTATTTTCCCATAGACATACATGTTATATGGAGGGGTGCGTTACCGAAGAAAAATTAAGTATAAATGTATTACTTGATAACAATATTAACATTATATATAAAAAAATAATAATAAGAAGTTTAATAACAAATACTAATGATTACAATTTTAAATATTACTATTTACAAAGATTTGCTTAATAATGAGTAACTTCAGGGCTCCTTGAACACTTCAAGGAGTTACTGGAGGGACGACTGTACTTTACAGTGAATAGTTTTCAGATAAATTAACCACGAGAAAAATGTACGGTAATGTTGATTCACAAAGGAACAACTGTATACATGCATGGATTTAAAATGGAAAGAATAAAGGATGGTTATAGTTTTATTATTTGGGTCTTTCTGTAAAGTCACGTAGATAGGTTCAAATTAATAAAAATAAAAACACGACGTACCGATCACAACACAAGCGATCGTCATCAGGAGGAACAAAGAGGGGGAAAGCTGCTGAGGCAGACTGTTTTAAAGGTTTAAAATGGGTGTAGCCCAAGGGTCATAAACGAAGTGGGCGGGGCTAGTGATGTTAATGTGAGAGATTAGCATGTTAATGTGAGATCGTAGAGCCCTGCTACGTCGAGGTCGGCGCACGGAGGTGGCTATGTTGATGTGAAAATGTCTTTAACCTGTTAAATTAACTACAATTTTTTAACAACAATACACGGGTACAACTTTGGAGAAAGATATTAAATATCCAAGGTTGTGGGAAAACAAAAAGTAAACAGCAATTGAAAGAGCAGAAACGTATTGAATAGGGTACGCTCAGATACAACTACTGCGAGAGGCATTGATAACACAGTAAGATTGAGAATTAGCAGACGGGCAATTTCAAAATAACATTTACGTAAGATTTTCGAAGAAAAATGGCTGTAATTTCTTCAAAGTGGAAGAATAATGGGCAAAAATAGCTAAATGAATCAGGCCTTTGTTGTGCATTTCTGGTGATTATTAGGGGCCACTGACCTGGGTGTCTGGCTTGGCCTGGATGGTGACGGTTCCCTGCAGCCAGGCGCTGCTCTGCTGCCCCTCCGCACGCCACACGCGTCTCTCTACGCCGTCCTCCAGCACGTGCACGTTCAGGGTCATAAGTTCATCGCCGTACATGTGGTACCAGAAGCTCAGGCACACGTTCTGGTTGGTGTTGATGCTGGGGCTCAGGAGCCTCACTCCTCCCCCAGCTCCCACGGACGCAGAGTCCAGGTAAAGGTAGAAGGAGGCTGAAACGAACCGGCATCCCGTGCCGTCAATTTACACCGATAACAAGCAGCACGAGCAGGGCCGGCCCAGAGGTTCCTAGGGGCCCGGCGCAGAATGTTTTGTGGGGCCCCCTAATTCAAGCGACGGTGGCGAGATGTTAACTACTTCACCTGATATACAGGAGGTTGTCGGTTTAATCCTGACCGTGACGCCTGTATATTTGAGGTTTGCATGTTCTTCCATGGTCACGTGGATTTTTTCTCCGGGTTCTCCGGTTTTCCCCTCCACATTTAGAAACATGCTCTTAGAGTAGATTTCTACGTGATAAGTCACTTCGTTGAGTTATCATGTGTGGCCAGGCCACTTCTGAAAAATAGCAATACAACTTAGTGGGCCTTACCTTGTCAAATAAAAATAGTTTAGTTTAGATTGTTATTGGCTGTAGGGGTGTTCTTTAATTATATTGTTTACCAATTATAATGCAGTTTTGCTTATTGGTGTCATGTCATGAGATGAAAACATTTAAATTCCCAAATGTCACAGAAAGTTGTGCACTACTCTGGTTTTACAACAGCTTGTGGGTGAGATCGCTAACCTAGAGTACACCTTGTTCAATTACCTCTTAGGCAGTGTATGGGTGCTGCACATTCTCATTCAGCCGAATATTGACAATGTTTGCCACATGATGAAGAAAAAATATTGTAACACAGAGTGGAGAATATTACACTTAAAGTGAAAGAGATTTAAATAGATGGTGTTTTTGCAGAAGTCATGACAGTAGCTGTGCAAATGCCAAGATGTTGCCTTTCGCGACAACAAAGCAAATTCCCAGGCAATGTCGTCTTGCTGTGTTGATCAAGACACGAATCTGACCCAGCAAATTTACATTTGCGTGGAATTTTATGATCTCGTGTTTTAACTTCAAACAAACACGAGATACAACATGCAAGGCCCAAGTGTTTCCTAACATTTGATCTGAATTAAATGGGAGTTTGAAAAATTATGTAAACGGGTTGAACTTTGATATGGAAATGAATTTGAAATAACTTGGTTGAAACAAAAGAGACATTTAGTTCAACAACAGGGCACATCCAGGTGTTCTTATCTACGAATCAAAGTCCAGGCTTAGCTGCAAGGTACACATGGAACAAAGAAACACGCTTGGATGGGTGAGATTTGTTAAAACGCACTGGACGGCACATTTTTTAAATGCAATGCAGATGTAATTCTGTATGTAGGCTAAAAAAAGTGACTGTTCAATTTGTTTCTGTATATACAACTGAAAAGCGTGTTACACTCAACAGAAGACGTTAAAAGCTGTAAATAATTCTGTAAAACAGTGAATAGATAACAATTTCCGAGGTAAAGACTCAACACGGAGTGCTCGTCACAATATGGTTTTGTTATTGAATGTTTTAAGTTTGTTCCCCCAGTGTTGTCTCGATTGTACTACTGGCGTCACGTCACGAGACAACCCGTCCAATCATATCTCCTGCTGAGCAGTGTAACCTTTCGTGTTCGAGGACGGCCCACAGAAGCGGCTATCAAAGAACTACCTCAGAGATCCCTTCAAGTGACCTCCAGACCACACGCAGGAGAGGGCAGCACTTCCCACTTGCTCTGCATGAGAGTTATGGCCATTGCATGGCGGACAAACCGAATGTTTAATTCTCAGAGCTGGAATTTGTTGCCAAATTAAGCGCGTGATTCAATTGAACGTGATGTGATTTTATGTGCGGAGTCATTGGTAACCATGCTGAGGTCATCAACTCGCTAAGACTTGAGAAGCAGGTTTAATCACATGCAGCAGCTTGGACTCACATTTTCGACCAGCACCTTATTGAGCGGTGCTATCCGAGCCCTCTGACTTTTGAACCACCTGGCCACCAGATAATGTTTTATGTTTTTCTTCAAAGTAGCCATTTTACAATGTGAGTGCTGCTTACAGCCGGTGGTGTGGTCCCCAGGTGGACCGGTGCTGGGGTTGGGGGTTGCTCCCGAGTTCCTGATCCAGTCTCCGGCGTCATCGCCCAACTGAGTCCAGCCGCACAGTGGGAGTCCCTCGTCATCAAAGCTGCAGCCGAGACGTGCATCTGTAAAAAAAACAACGCCCACACCCAGCACGAAAAAATTATAAGTTTGTTTAAAATCCACAGAATCATGCTTTCCTTTATTGGGCATCGTATAAAGCTTCAGCATATTGCCACTGTTAAATTTACAGTGTTCTTCAATGTTACTGGTGGGCTATTGATCTGCATAACCAGCTTCAAGACAGATCCGTTTTACTTATCAACCCCCCCCCCCATTTTAAGCTCACAGACTTTAAACTATACGTTCTATGCACTTGCCACAGAAGCACCCAGCTCGATAATCATGACTGTACAAGAAAGGAACTGGCATGAGTGATAACACTATGTAACACGCTGCGCAGGCATTGAGCAACTGGAACGTGCTGGCAGCGGCTTCATCAGCAGATGCTTTCTCCACCAGACAGGTGCATTTTCAGCCCATGCGGCTTCCTGACAATTAAAACGAAAATTAATTTACGGCCCACTGAGCTATATAGCTTTTTTCAGAATCGACCTGGCCACAAATGATAGATCAACAAAGTGGCTTTTGTGAGAAATTTATAGCAGCCATATACTCAAAACGCATGTTTATAAATGTGAAAGGAAGGACCGGAGACCCGGAGAAAAATTCACGCGAACCATGGAGAGAGAAAGACATGCAAACTTAAAATATACAGCAGGCGTCAGGGTCAGGGTCGAACCCACGATTTCCTGCATACCAGGCAAGGGTGTTAATATCTCACCACCGAATGGTCTGGCCGGGCCCAGCTCTGGCTTAGGATAACACCTTTCCTGTGCCCTTCACTTAATTATCAGTGAAGCCACCTGCGGTGTCGCCTTGAGAGGCGAGGGGGAAACTCAAGGACTCATGAAACCCCACTCCTGGGCTCAGCAGTGGAGCGAGCGACTCGCAATCGGAAGGTTGTGAGTTCAGATCCTGGTTGGGGGGGTTGTGGGGGGGGGGCGACTCAGCCAATCATCCCCTCAGGTTCTACAAAATGAGCACGACTTTGTGGAGAAGTCAATAGTGGTGTCTGGTTGTTGAATACTCGTCATGGGAATGAGGAATTTCCGTATCTGACTAAGAGCTATAAACAGGAGGTGAGCACCGCCTCAATATTCATTGGACAGGCAGCAGGGAGATAACTTTGACTTTGTCTAAAAGGAGCTCTTCTCAGCCATTCACTTGTGAACTGCATTCCAGAGTGCAATGAAACTTCAAAATGCACTAAAAACAGATTTCGAAATACCCCACCATTAACACCAGGGGGATGGGAAGAGTGCAAGGTTTCCTTTTAACCATTGCGCTTGGTTAACCGTTAACAAGGACACGCATGGAGACTCTCGCCTGTCGTCAAGGGAATCAAGGAACACAGAAGGCAGATCTTCAGCATGAAATCGTAAAAACGCAGTCGTGTCCAAACGGCACCTTTTCAACCACGACGTCGGCTACTTTGCGAAACACAACTGCAGCAAAAGTAAAAAAAAACAACCTACGTCGTGTGGCCAGTAACTCGAGCGTTTGGACACTCGGTGAAAACTCACGTCTTTTTTTCACCAGTTAGGTTTCCAAACGCGCTTCATCGTTGCTTTTTTCAATTACATTTTAGTTTGTGTACATTTGTAAACCATTCTACACCATACAATTTGTACGTTTTTCACGAATATTTTCCCTTCATGATGAATCTTCCCGTGCCTTGACCTTGTGTTTTACCCCAGATCTACCCTGTGCAGAACGATGTGTGTTTTTTTCTATGGGATTCCCATCCGGCTACAGAACATATGGATTTCCTACTCCTCTACCTTGTGCCTCCTGTTGTATATATAGGTCCTTTCGATTTAAAGCTTTCGTGACTGCAGGGATTCATCTTCTGGGTTCTTTCGGTAAAGTCACGTAGAATGGAGATAAAATAATAAAAATAATAACAAAATTCTCACGATGTTTCGGCCACAACACAAGTAGCCTTCCTCAGGTGAAGAAACAGGACTGTCCGGAAGACAGCGCTTGAGTGAACCCTGCCAAGCATGGCAGGGTCTTTTAAGCTGTGTGGGAGGAACAGAGCGCCTTGACAAAGGAGTTTACATATAAATTAGCATGTAACTGGGGGATTAGCATGATGTTGGTGTTGGAACGGAGGAGGGGGGAGAGGAGTTTACATATAAATTAGCATGTAACTGGGAATTAGCATGATGTTGGTGTGAGGGATTAGCACCACGGAGAGCGACGAGCTTTGTTCAGACGGACGAGTCCATCTATGTTTGGAACGGAGGAGGGGGGAGAGGAGTTTACATATCAATAGTAAATTAGCATGTAACTGGGGGATTAGCATGATGTTAGTATGAGGGATTAGCACCACAGAGAGCGACGAGCTTTGTTCAGATGGACGAGTCCATCTATGTTCTGAGCGGAGGAGGGGGGGGGGGGGAAGAGGAGGAAACAGCCACGGTGCGCTGCTCTGTCCTGTGTTGTGCTATAACTATGCTATAAACTAGACTACTATACATTACAATATTATACCTTCCAATCTAAACTACAATGTATAATATCGTATCCATAGACAAACCCCACCTTTTAATTATACAATGCATTACTATACACTACCCTATACATTAGACTATAAAAGATTAGACTTGTAGTATTACACTATGTATTATTCTACTAACCCTACTGTATACCACACTGCTGTATATTCACTATACAATTACGGTACTATATATTGCCTTATGAATTATGTTAAACATTACACTTATACTATTTATTATTATACAACATGCTATAAACTATATAACATGCTATAAACTAAACCGAGAAGATGGATTCCGGCTTAGTAACTATTGGAAAGACGTTATAAACCATTTCGGTTATTGATTGATTGTATTTTACGGTGACTTTCAGACCGCAGTCCATTCGCTGGCACTGCCTCTTAGTATCTTTCACACGACGGTCAATAGTATAGTTTAAATCATGTTGTATAATAATAAATAGTATAACAGTGTAATGTTTAACATAATTCAAAAGGAATATAAAGTACCGTAATTGTATAGTGAATATACAGCAGTGTGGTATACAGTAGGGTTAGTAGAATAATACAGTGTAACAATACAAGTCTAATATTTTATAGTCTAAAGTATAGGGTAGTGTATAGTAACGCATTGTATAATTCAAAGGTGAGGTTTGTCTATGGATACGATATTATACAATGTAGTTTAGATTGGAAGGTATAATATTGTAATGTATAGTAGTCTAGTTTATAGCATAGTTATAACGCAACACAGGACAGAGCAACGCACTGTGGCTGTTTCCTCCGCTCCCCCTCCTCCGTTCCGAACATAGATGGACTCGTCCGTCTGAACAAAGCTCGTCGCTCTCCGTGGTGCTAATCCCTCACACCAACATCATGCTAATCCCCCAGTTACATGCTAATTTATATGTAAACTCCAATCCCCCCTCCACCGTTCCCACACCAACATCATGCTAATCCCCCAGTTACATGCTAATTTATATGTAAACTCCACTCCCCCCTCCACTGTTCCCACACCAACATCATGCTAATCCCCCAGTTACATGCTAACTTATATGTAAACTCCTTTGTCAAGGCGCTCTGTTCCTCCCACACAGCTTAAAAGATGCTGCCATGCTTGGCAGGGTTCACTCAACCGCTGTCTTCCGGACAGTCCTGTTACTTCATCTGAGGAAGGCTACTTGTGTTGTGGCCATAACGTCGTGAGAATTTTATTCTGTTATTATTTTATCTCCATTCTACGTGACTTTACCGAAAGAACCCAGAAGGTATATAGGCCTTTTTACAAAATTTATATTAAGAATTATTCTGCCTATTTTTTTGTAATAATCGATCGGGGTGAGCATGGGGCATGAAAGGGTGAGGCAAGATGGTGGCGGTGGCGTGTGTAGCAGCATGTGAGTTGTTTTTGTGAGTTGTTTTGCGTGAGTGTAAACTGTGTGTGAGAATGTGTGAAAATGTGAGTGAGAATGAGCTGTGTGTGAGCTGCGTGTGTGTATGAGTGAGCCGTGTGAGAGTGGCCGTGACGAGAGGGACTTCTGCGTTCATGTGTGTGATGGTGTGGTGATGTGCACTCTGTGTGTGTGTGATGGTGTGGTGATGTGCACTCTGTATGTGTGTGATAGTGTGGTGGTGTGCACTCTGTATGTGTGTGATAGTGTGGTGATGTGCACTCGTGTGTGTGATGGTGTACACTCGTGTGTGTGTGATGGTGTGGTGATGTGCCCTCGTGTGTGTACCTGGTGCAGCCTGAGTGAGGCCTGGTTGGTCGCGCACGTGGCGCAGCCTGAGTGAGGCCTAGTTGATCGTGCACCTGGTGCGGCCTGGGTGGGGCCCGGTTGGTCTTGCACATGACACTGCCGGAGTGAGGCCTAGCTGATCATGCACCTGGCGCAGCCAGTGTGAGGCCTAGTTAATCGTGCACGTGGCACGGCCTGAGTGAGGCTTAGGTAGTACTGCACATGACACAGCCTGAGTGAGGCCGAGTAAATCATGCACCTGGCGCAGCCTGGGTGAGGCCTGGCTGATCGTGCACCTGGCGCAGCCTGAGTGAGGCTTAGTTGGTCATACACGTGGCGCGGCCTGAGTGAGGCCTGTTTGTGCACATGACACTGCCTGGATGAGGCCTGGCGGATCGTGCACCTGGCGCAGCCTGAGAGAGGCCTGGTTAATCATGCACAAGGCGCAGCCTGAGTGAGGCCTGGTTGATCACACCCATGGCGCAGCCTGAGTGAGGCCTAGTAAATAGTGCGACGGACTCCAAGCTGTGTTCCTGCCAAGGCAACATTGCCACGGACTCCAAGCTGTGGTCCTGCTAAGGCAACATTGCCGTAGACCCCAATCTGTGTTCCTGCCAAGGCAGCATTGCCACGGACTTCAAGCTGTGTTCCTGCCAAGGCAACATTGCCACGGACCCCAGGCTGTGTTCCTGCCAAGGCAGCATTGCCACGCACCCCAAGCTGTGTTCCTGCCAAGGCAACATTGCCACGGACCCCAACCTGTGTTCCTGCCAAGGCAACATTGCCACGGACTTCAAGCTGTGTTCCTGCCAAGGCAACATTGCCACAGACCCCAAGCTGTGTTCCTGCCAAGGCAACATTGCCACGGAGCCCAAGCTATGTTCCTGGAAAACTTCACGGAGATCGTCAAGACGGCCAAGGGTCGTGAATGAAGAGTCCCCTGTGTGGGCTTCAG